TCTAAAGACAGAAATCCAAACAACAAAAAAAATCTAAAAATGTAAATTTCAAAAATTCGCAAAATTTTGAAAAATCGAATTAGTAAAAAATCAAAAAAAGAGACAGTCGAAAAATCTAAAAATTTAAAAATCGAAATACATAGTCAAAAATCCCATAACTTACACCTTGAAAATTTGAGAAATCGAAAAATTGAGAAATCGAGAAATTGGGAAAACGAAAAATCGAAAAGTCGAAAAATTAAAAAATGCATTAATCGAGAAATTGAGAAATCGATAAATCCAAAAATTTAGAATAGCCAGAAACTGAAAAACTGAAAAATCGGAAAATTTAAATACATTAATCCCAAAATTAAAACGTTGAAAAATTGGAAAATCGAAAAATCGAAAAAATGAATTATCCAAAAACTGAGAAATCAAGAAATTGAAATTGAAAAAGTGAAAAATCGAAACATCGAAAAACTTAAAAATTAATTCCGAAAAATTGAAAAATCGGCAAATCTGAAAACGGGAACGCGAAAAATCGAAAGAAAACCGTTAAATCTAAAATTAAAAATCGAAATAGAAAAAAATTAATTTCGAAAAATTGGAAAATATCAAAATGTAAAAACGAGAAGACAAAAATCCAAAGATCTAAATCACAAAAAAGTGAAAAATCTAAAATTTAATAGTTCCAAAAATTGAAAATTTAAAAAATTAAGGAATGAAAACATCAACAAATCGAAAAATCAAAAAACTGAAAAAATGTAAGATTTAAAAACTCGCAAAATTTTGAAAAATCGAGAAAGTAAAAAATCAAAAAAACAGAAAGTTGATTAATCTAAAAATTTATAAATCGAAATCTTGGAAAAACGCAAAACTTAAGCAGAGAAATCGAAAAATCGGAAAACTAAAAAATCTGTTAATCGAGAAATTGAGAAATCAAAAAATTCAAAAATTTAGAAACGCCAAATATTGGAAAATACAAAAATTTAAATACATAAATCCCAAAACTGAAACGCTGAAAAATTGGAAAATCGAAAAATAGAAAAGATGAATTATCCAAAAATTGAGAAATCAAGAATCGAAAAAGTGAAAAATTAATTCCGAAAAATTGAAAAACCGGAAAATTTGAAAACGAGAGGGCAAAAATCGAAAAACTGAGAAATCGAAATAACAAAAAAGTGAGAAATCTAAAACTTAAAAATTCGAAAAATGGAAAATTTAAAAAATTGAGCAATCAAAACATCAACAAATCGAAAAATCAAAAACTGAAAAATTGGAAAATGTAAGATTTAAAAACTCGCAAAATTTTGAAAACTCGAGAAAGTAAAAAATCAAAAAAACAGAAAGTTGATTGATCTAAAAATTTAAAAATCGAAATCTTGGAAAATCCTAAAATTGAAAAATCCCAAAACTTAAACGGAGAAAAAGAAAAATCGAAAAATTAAATCGATTAATTAAGAAACTGAGAAGTCGAAAAATCCAAAAATTTAGAAACCCCGGAAATTGAAAAGTTTTGGATTTTTTAATTTTTTTAATTTTCCGATGTTTCAGTTTAACGATTTTTCAATATTTTAATTTTTTAATTTTTCGACTCTTCAATTTGTGACGTTTCTAAATTTTCGATTTTTCGATTTCTCAATTTCTTGATTCATTGACTTTTTTGGTTTTTCGACTTTTTGATTTCTTGATTTTTCGACCTTACCACTTTCCGATTTTTTATTTAACCATTTCTCAATTTTTCAGTATTTCAATTCTTCAATTTTTTTTCAAGTTTCTGATTATTCAGTTTTTCTATTTTTCGACCTCATACTTTTTCGATTTTTAAATTTTAGGTTTTTTAAATTTCTCAGTTCTTCGATTTTTGGTGTTTCGTTTTTTGAGTTTCCAGTTCTTCGATATTTCTATTTTTCAATTGTCCTAATTTTTCAATTTTAGGTTTTTCAGTTTTTTTGATGTTTCGATTTCCCGATATTTCGACTTGTCAGTTTTAGATCTTTCGGTTTTTCAATTTTTCGATTTTCAAAAGAAATCGGGAAGACGGAAAATCGAAAAATCGGAAAACTAAAAAATCGAATAATCGAGAAATAGAGAAATTGAAAAATCCAAAACTAGAAAAAACGGGAAATCGATCGATAAGTCGAAAAATCGAAAAATTGAGATATCGAAATAGCTAAAAATTCAAAATTGGGAAAATTCAAAATTGAAAAATTTAAACTTAAAAAACCCGATAATCGAAAAATTGAAAAATCGAAAAGTATAAGATTTAAAAAATAGCGAAATTTTAAAAAATCTAATAAGTAAAAGATCAAAAAAAGAGAGTCGAAAAATATAAATCTTTAAAAATCGAAATACAAGTTGAAAAATCCCAAAATTTAAAAATTAAAAAACCCACAAATTGAAAATTTGAGAAATCGAAAAAGTGTGAACTAGAGAAATCGGGAAGACGAAAAATTAAAAAAATAATTAATCGAGAAATTGAGAAATCGAAAAATCCAAAAATTTAGAAACGCCAAAAATTGAAAAATAGAAAAATTGAAAAATTTAAATGCAAAATCTCAAAACTGAAACCTTGAAAAATTGGAAAATCGAAAACTGAGAAATCGAGAAATCGAAATCGAAAAATTGGAAAATTGCAAAATCGAAACATCGAAAGATCGAGAAATTGAAAAATTGAAAAATGGAAAAATCGAAATCGAAAAATGGGAAAATTCAAAATTCAAAATTAAAAAAAAAACGGTAAAGTGAAAGAAGATTGAAACATCGAAAAACTGAAAAATTAATTCCGAAAAATTAAAAAATCTGAAAATCTAAAAATAAGAGGCGAAAAATCGAAAGACTGAGTAATCAAAACAAAAAAACAATGAAAAATCTAAACTTAAAAACTCGAAAAATTGAAAATTTACAAAGACGAGAAATCAAAAGATCAAAGAATCGAAAAACGAAAAATTGAAAAATCGAAAAATTTATGATTTAAAAAATCGCAAAATTTTGAAAAATCGAATAAGTAAAAAATCATAAAAACCTATGAAGTCGAAAAATCTAAAAATTAAAAGAAAATCGAAATATATACATATTGAAAAATCTCAAAACTTAGACAGTGAAAATTTGAAATTGAGAAATAGAGAAATCGGAAAGACAAAAAATCGAAAAGTCGAAAAATTTAAAAATGCATTAGTCGAAAAATTGAGAAATCGAAAAATCCAAAATTTAGAAAAGCCAAAAATTTAAAAATTTAAATACATAAATCCCAAAACTGTAACGTTAAAAAACTGGAAATTCGAAAAATCTAAAAGATGCATTATCGACAAACTGAGAAATCAAAAATCGAAATCGAAAAACTGAAAAATTAATTCTGAAAAATTGAAAAACCGGAAAATCTGAAATCGAGATGGTGAAAACTGAAAAAAAGCCATTAAATCGAAAATTAAAAAAATGAAATATCAACGGCAAAGATCGAAAATATTTAAAACTTAAAAATTCGAAAAATTGAAAATTTAAAAAATCGAGTAAATAAAAAATCAAAAAAAAAAGAAAGTTGAAAAATCTAAAAATTTAAAAATCGAAACTAAAAAATCGATTAATCGAGAAATTAAGAAATCGAAAAATCCAAAAATTTAGAAACGCCAGAAATTGAAAAATCGAAAAATTTAAATACATAAATCCCAAAACTGAAAAAACTTCGAATAAGAGTTTAATTATCTGATTATATGAGAAATCGAGAAATCGAAATCGAAAAATTGAAACAACGCGAAATCGAAACATCAAAAGTCGAAAAATCGAAATTAAGATATCGAAATAACAAAAAAGTGAAAAACCTGAAACTTAAAAATTCGAAAAATTGAAAATTTAAAAATCGAGCAATTAAAACATGAACAAATTGAAAGATCAAAAAACTGAAAAATCGGAAAATCAAAATTTTTACAATTTAAAAGTGGCTATATTTTGAAAAATCGAATAAGTAAAAAAATCAAAAACACGAAAAATTTAAATGTCGAATTATATATTTAAAAATCCCAAAACTGAAATAAAAGATAATTTTTAAATATTTCATTCCAATTTCTGCAATCAAGCAAGGAAACTTTAGTCCTTGTACATTTTTTCCTACCTGAAAGTATGTATTGCAGTCGAGTTCATCGGGGGACTGACTACTTTTATGTTTTCTCGACGTTTCGTGACCCCTAGAATACAAAAACATAGATCGCTCGTTTGTCTGTCGTCTGCCGTCTCAAATAATCATCTGAACTACCAGACCGATTGTTGGCAAATTTTGAATGTAAATATATTAGAAATATCGTGTAGATGGTGAAGCGCTAACCAAAATCTTTCACGATAGTAAATGTTAATTAAATTTTATAAAATAACATATTCCTGATGTGTGATTTATGAAACCATCTTGAGTTCAGGTTACTGACTTTAATATTCACAAATATATTTTTTAGACTACTTAGTTTTTGTTACAATAATTGTCGAAATCTCTCTATGAAGGGAAATAACTAAACTAAAATGCGAGCGTAGCGAGCACGTTCAAGACGTTTCAGTCTAAGGGACATTATAGTGATCACATATATTCTTTATTTAAATTTTGAAAAAACTACAAATTTTTTCTTGATAATTTACCGGGAATGTATCATTGAATAATTTATTAAATTACACCTGAACGTGCTCGCTGCGCTCGCATTATTTTTTTTACAGGTTTATTCTCACAAAAGTGTGCAGGAAAGAATTTCAGCGAAGTTGGTTGGGTCCTATCATAAAAATAAATCTCTCGGCTGCAAAAACAACATACCCTAAGCTGATCTAGCCTGATCTGAGTTAACCTGATTAATTCCTTCGATTTTTCCACCCCTCCCTTTTTACAAAACAGCGATAATTCTTATATTTTGAATATTTTAAGTATGAATAAAAATGACCCAAGCGACCAAAATCGATACTTCCGTATCACCCCAAATGCACACATCTCACACTCCACTAAGCAAACAACACCCACACAGTCACACCCACACCAATAAAACTCCTCCAATACATCAACATTTATTTACAACACCAACCCTCTCCAAACCCTTCACAAACCCCATCAACAATTGGTCCCATCTTTCCTAAACTAAATAAAAAATGACTAGAATCAATTCGCCCTTCCCCCGAAAGAAAAACACCGAAGACATAAAATTATCTAAACATGAGTTCCATCCAACGAGTTGATCCTCTCGGGCTTCTCCTTCGACCCTCCTCTCTCCAGCTGTATCTTCGTGTCCCTCTTGATCAGCGGCGACTTCAGGAAGAACTTCATGTCTTTCCTGCCGCCGTGCTTGGGCGACTGGTGCACCGGCACCGCCGCCCCCAGCGAGCGCACCTTGAAACTATCGGTCATCTCGTTGTCCGCGCGCCGCTCCATCATGTGCGGCGAGTTCCGCTCGAGTTTGCTGGTCTTGGTGGCGGGGGAGGACTGCTTGGAGCGGTAGCCCACCATGGGCTCGGACAGCAAGCGCGGCACGGACTTGAAGATGGGGCCTTCGGCGTGGCTGGGGGCGGACACGGGGGTGTGCGGGGCGGACTGCGACACCATCATCTTGTTGATGTTGTTGGCGATGACGTCCTTCTCGATGGACTTGTACGCCTTCATGTTTTCCAGGTGGCTGCCGGAGCCGCCGAGCTGGCGCATGTTGGGCTGGGAGCGGGCGTGCATGTTGCGCTGGTTGGCGCGGGTGGTGTTGCGCCGGATGGGGTAGGCGGGGGCGCGGTGGGGGATGCGCATGGAGCTGTAGTTGATGATCTTCTTACCCACGTCGATCTTCTGCTGGGTGCGGGCCCGACCAAGGGCGGAGCTTCCAGCTAAAAATCAAAGAAAGAATCAACACCTAGAGGACTCACTGTGGAGGTGGTTTACGTGTGTGTCCGGTGTGTTTCCGCCTTGTTTGCGCCATGGCGTAGACGACCGCCGCCAATGTACTGTAGTGGCTGGGTTGGCGCTGGAAACTGGGCGGTCTGCCTTGCTGGCGACCCATCACGAAGTAGGTCTCCATTTGGCCTTTGCCCTTCACTTCGATGGATCCGCGTTTCTTGATTTCGTAGCCGCGCACACCTAACAACTGGTGAACTTTAAGGTAAGCAAGAGTTAGAACTTGAGGGCGAAGTACCTGAGCTGTGTATTTCGGGACTTGTATTTGGCCTATGACGCCTGTTGAATCCATTCTGGAGGCTTCGTTCACGGTGTTCCCCCAAATATCAAAAACGGGCTTCCTAGCTCCGATTACCCCACAAACTAGACTTCCGCACGACACTCCCACCCTCAGTCCAAAATTATTGAAGGAGTCTTTGTTGATGTCGTCTAGTTTTTGGCGCATGGCTATGGCGAAGTCTATGAGAGCGCAGAGGTGCTCGGGACTATCCGTGTTGAGACAATCCTGGAAAAAAATTATCGAACGAATCAAAACAAAAAAGTCCCCGAGATTCCTTCAAACTACTTCAAAAACAAAATACAAGAAGTGCCCGAGATTCTATAAAAACCACTTCAAAACAAAACAAAAATGGTCACAGAGATTCTTTCAAATTACTTCAAACGCAAGACAAGATATCTCCAAGATTCTTTACTACTTCAAAAAGCAGACAACACGGGTCCCTAAGATTCTTTTTATTTACTTCAAAAATAAAACAAAAGGGGTGCCGTGAGATTTTTTTAAACTACTTTAAAATTTTTTCGATTTCCCAATTTTTCAATTTCCCTAATTTAAATTTTTCGATATTTCAGTGCAGAGATTTTGCAACGTTTCTATTCTTTAATTTCGCAATTCTTGAAATTTTAGATTTTTTCTAGTTTCTCAATATCCAATTTCTTAGTTTTTCGCTTTTTAAATTTTTCGACTTTTCGATTATTATTATTTATTTTCCCGTTTCTCATTTCCTAGACGTTCAAATGTTTCGTTTTTGCGGTTTTTCAAGTTTTTGATTTTTCAACTTTTCAATTCGTCGATTTTTTGGTTTGGAATTTTCAATTTCTCGATTTATCAATTTTTCAGATTTTCCAATTTTTTTATTTTCGGTTCGAATTTTCGAATTCTCGGTTTTAGGATTTTCGGTTTTCCAATTTTTCGAATTTGAAAGTTTTTGTTTTATCGATTTTTCAGTTTTTTGCTTTCTCGATTTATCAAGATTTCTAGATATGTCTCGATCTTTTGATGATTCAATTTCTCAATTTTCCGTTTTTTCAATTTTTCAAATCGATTTTCTTTTAATTTTAAATTTTTCTATTTTTTATTTACAAACTTTTCGATTTTGGGGTACTCTGATTTCCCAGTTTTTTAATTTTTCAGTTTCTCCACTTTTGGATATTTCGATTTTTCGATGTTTCGATTTCTGCCTGTTTCAGTTTTCCAATTTTTCCATTTTTCGACTTTTCGATTTCCCAATTTTTCATCACTTTTGTTTTGGAATTCTAAAACTTTCCGATTTTTCGATTCCTTGGTTTTTCAATTTTCAGACTTTTTTCATTTTTAATTTTTTAATTTTCCAATTTTTCGATTTTTAAATTTTCTTTTATATTTTAATGTTTCATTTTCTCGATTTTCAGTATTTCAATTCTTCAATTTTTGCAATTTTTCAACTTTTTGATTTTTCAATTTTTCGATTTTTAAATTTTAGATTCTTAAAATTTTTCAAAATTTTCGATATTTTATTTTTCGTTTTTTGAAATTTTATATTTGTTTGATTTCCTGTTTTTTTGATTCTTCAATTCGTCGATGTTTTTTCATTTTTCATTAATTTTAATTTTTAAATTTTAGGTTTTTCAGTTTTTTGATGTTACGATTTCTTGATATTTCAATTTTTCGAGTTTCAGTTTTCGATCTTTAAAAATTTTGATTAGTCAAGATTTATTGTTCAATTTCTCGATTTTTCGTTTTTTCAATTTTTTAGTACTTTGATTTCTAACTTTTTCGATTTTTCGACTTCTCGAATTTTGAATACATATCTCGATTTTTCGACATTTCGATTTCTTGATGTTACAGTTTTTCAATTTTGCGATTTTTCGACTTTTAGATTTTCCAATTTTCGATTTCCAATTTTTCGTCTTTTCTGTTTTGGAATTCGCCAACTTTCCGATTTTTCGATTTTCAGTTTTCCGACTTTTGAATCTTTAAATTTTCGATGTTTCAAATTTTCATTTCTTCGATATTTTTTAACAAGTTGTCCCATGACGTGCAAACTCTGTCCATGCGTAAATTCAAAATTACTTTGAAACAGTATTTGCTCTCAAAGGCTTTCTACACCTTTGAAGAGTTTCTAAATGATGTGCTGTACTTTTCAATTTAAATGTATTTAATTTTAATTTTGTATCTTGACTTATGCAAAAACCGTTGTAGTTCTTATGCACTAATAAACTTATTATTATTATTAAACTTATTATTATTATTTTCGATTTTTCAAATTTTCGATTTCCCGACTTCTGTTTTTCAGTTTTCCAATATTTCTGTTTTCGGATTTTTATTATTCAATTTTTCCATTTTTAGAGTTTTGACGTTATCGATTTTTAATTTTTTTGGTTTTCGCCTTTTCAATTTTTCGTTATTTTATTTTTCATTTTTTAAAATTCTAGATTTTTTTGATTTCCAGATTTTCAATGTTTTTTCAGTTCTTCGATATTTCCGTTTTGTTACATTTTTCTAATTTTTTAATTTTAAACTTTTCGATTTTGGGTTACTTTGATTTCGATTTTCCAATTTTCGATTTCCCCCAACGTTTTCAAAATTTTAAAATTTTTGATTTTTCACTTTTTTCATTTTCCAATTAGTTTTACTTTTTTTTATGTTTGATTTCATCGGTTTTTCAGTATTTCAATTCTTCAATTTTTGCGAATTTGAAAGTTTCTGATTTTTCAAGTTTTCGATTTTTCCCAATGTTTTTAAAATTTTTAAATTTTTGATTTTTCAGTTTTTTGATTTTCCAACCAGTTTTTAAATTGTACTTTTTTTCAAATGTTTGGTTTTATCCCTTTTTCAGTATTTCAATTCTTCAATTTTTGCGAATTTTTAAGATCTTGATTTTTCAATTTTTCGATTTTTAAAATTTTCAATTTCCCGACTTCGATTTTGCAATTTTCCGATATTTCAGTTTTCGCATTTTTCCATTTTTCGATTTTTTACTTTTTCGATATTTAAATTTTAGATTTTTTAATTTTTCAATTTTTCGACTTCTTGGTGTTTCAATATTTTATTTTCATTTTTTAAAATCTTTTCAGTTTCTCGATTTTTAAAAATTTTGATTTACCTTTTTTTACAGTTTTTCGATTTCTGGATTTATAAAGATTTCTGTTTAGATCTTTTGATTGTTCAATTTCCTGATTTTTCGTTTATTCAATTTTTCAATTCATCGATTTTCTTTTAATGGTAAACTTTTCGATTTTGAGCTAGTTTTAATTTCTCAGTTTTTCGATTTTTCGACTTCTTGATTTTTGGATATCCCGATTTATCGAAGTTTCGATTTCTCGATATTTCAGTTTTTCAAGTTTTCGATTTTCCAGTTTTCGATTTCCCAATTTTTCATTTCTATTTTAGAACTTTCCAACTTTCCAATTTTTCGATTTCTTGGTTTTTCAGTTATCTGACTTTTCAATATTTCAATTTTTAAATTTTAGATTTTTCCAATTTTCCTCAATTTTTCAAATTTTTGAATTTTGAATTTTTGACTTTTTTGACTTTCCCGAATTTCTAAATTTTACAGTTTTTTCAAATGTTTCGTTTTGTCGATTTTCCAGTATTTCAAATTCTTCAATTTTTGCAATTTTCAAGTTTTTGATTTTTCAATTTTTGGATTTTTCAAATTTTCAATTTTCCGACTTCGATTTTTCAATTTTCCGATATTTCAGTTCTCGGACTTTTTGATAATTCAACTTTTCGATTTTTCAATTTCTCGATTTTTTTTTTAATTTCAGGTTTTTTAGTTTTTTGATGTTTCAATTTCTTGATATTTCAATTTTTCGATCTCGATTTTTCAGTTTTTCAACTTCTCGATCTTTTGATTGTTCAATTTTTCGATTTTTCGTTTTTTCAGTTTTTCCCTTCATCGACATTTTTTTAATTTTAAATTTTTCAGTTTTTTGATATTAAACTTTTCGATTTTGAGCTACTTTGATTTCTCAGTTGTTTCGACTTCTCGACTTTTGGATATCTCGATTGTTCGAGGTTTGATTTCTCGTTGTTTCAGTTTTTCAATTTTTCGACTTTTCGATTTCCCCATTTTTCGTCATTTCTGATTTAGAATTTTCGAACTTTCTGATTTTTCAATTTCTTGATTTTTCGGTAATTCGACTTTTCAATTTTTCAATTTTTAAATTTTCGATTTTCATTCTTGGATATTTGTCTTTTTCAATTTTTTAAATTTTTAAATTTTTAATTTTTCAGTTTTTTGATTTTCCAATTTTTCGAGTTTTTAAATTTTACATTTTTTTATGCTTCCTTTTCTCGATTTTTCAGTATTTCAATTCCTGTATTTTTTGATTTTCACAATTTTTTTGATTATTCAATTTTTCGATATTTCGACGTTTTATTTTTCAATTCTACGATTTTTGGTGTTGTGATTTTTTAATTTCTCGATTTCTCAATTTTTCGATATTTTCATTTTTCAAATTTCTAAATTTTAGGTTTTTCAGTTTTTTGATGTTTCGATCTTTCGATGTTTCGATTTTTCGACTCCTCGGTTTGAGATTTTTCGGTTTTTCAATTTTTCAATTCATCGATTTTCTTTTACTTTTAAACTTTTCCATTTTGAACTTTGAATTCTCAGTTTCTCAATTTTCCGATTTTTCGATTTTCCAATTTTCGAATTCTCAATTTGTCGTCATTTCTGTTTTAGAATTCTCCAACTTTCCGATTTTTCAACAGTTTACTTTTTCGATTTTAAAATTTTTCAATTCTCCGATTGTTTCCTGTCTCGATTTATCAATTTTTCAATATTTTATTTTTCATTTTTTAAAATTTCAGATTTTTTTGATTTCCCGATTTTTTGACTTTTCAGTTTTTGTATATTTCAATTTTTCATTGTTTCAAATTTTTTAAATTTAGGTTTTTAAGTTTTTTGATGTTTCAGTTTCTCGATATTTCGATTTTAAGTTTTAGATTTTTCAGTTTTTCAACTTTTCGATCTTCAGAAATTTTGATTTACTTATCAATTTTTCAGTTCTTCGATTTCTCGATTTATCAAGATTTTTGTTTCGATCTTCAATTTCTCGATTTTTCGTTTTTTTTCAGTTTTTCGATTTTTCAACTGCTCCAACTTTTTATATTTCGATGTTTTGATCTTGATGTTTCAGTTTTTCAATTTTTTGATTTTTCAAGTTTTAAATTTTCGATTTTTCAAACTATTAAATTATTATTTTTTCAGTTTTTTGATTTTCCAAATTTTCGAGATTTTAGGTTTCTTTTTAATATCTCGTTTCCTCGACTTTTAAGTATTTCAATTCTTCAATTTTTGCGATTTTTGTTTTAGTTTTTTTATTTCTGTCAATTCTTCGATTTTTTGGTGTTTTGATTTTTCATTTCTTCAGTATTTCTATTTTTCAATTTTTCTTTTTTCAGTTTTTTTTTGATGTTTGATTTGTCGATATTTCAATGTTTCGACTTTTCGGATTTTCAATTTTTCGATCTTTAAAATTTTTAATTTATCAGTTTTCCGATTTATCGATTTATCAAGATTTGTATGTTCCTATCTTTTGAGTGATCAATTTCTCGATTCGTCGGTTTTTCAGCTTTTCCATTCATCGATTTTCTTTTAATTTTAAATTTTTCCATTTTTTAATTTTAAACTTTTCAATTTTGGGATACTTTGATTTCTCAGTTTTTCAATTTTTCGACTTCTCGACTTTTGGATATTTCGATTTCTCGATGTCATTTTTGTTTTGGATGTTTCAGTTTTTCAATTTTTCGATTTTTCGACTTTTCGATTTTCCAATTTTCAATTGCCCAGTTTTTTGTCATTTCTGTTTTAAAATTCTCCAACCTTTCGATTTTCCGACTTCTTGGTTTTTCAGTTTTCCGACTTTTCAATTTTTCAGTTTATAAATTTTCGATTTTTCAAATTTTCATTTCTTTGATATTTCTTTTTTCAATTTTTCAAATTTTTGTTTTTTTAGTTTTTTGATGTTCCGAGTTTTTAAATTTTTCATATTTTTTGATATATTTTAATTTTTCGATAATCCAAATTTTCAATTTTCCGACTTCGATTTTTCAATTTTTCTTCGGATTTTTTGATTATTGAATTTTTTTATTTTTCGACTTTTCATTTTTTCGATTTTTAAATTTTTCAATTCTCAGATTTTTTTGATTTCCCGATTTTTTGATTTTTCAGTTTTTCGAGATTTCTAGGTTTGCATTTTTCGAATTTTTAAAAGTCCCGATATTCAGATTACTTAAAAATTAAAACAAAATGGTTCTTAAAAACCACTTCAAAAACAAAAAAAAGGTTCCCGAGATTCTTTCAAACTACCATACTACTAAGAACAAAGGGAATAAATAGGTACCTTGTGGGTAGGGTTCAACCCAGAAGCCGCCATATAAGTCGCAGTAGCACTCACAGTTTTGATTTTTTCAATAGTACTGAAGCGATCTTCATCCAGAAGCTCATCAAAGTCGGCTACAAAACAACGTCAAAATGGTACCAATATCAAAAGTACCACTCACCTATAATTTCATTCAGGAGCCTTATACACTCCAACCCTTTATTAATATCCTCAGAATAGAACTCCGTGAAGTTGGGAATACTCGCAAACAACACCCCCACTTCGTCCCTCGACTGGGAATACAGCTCCTAGATCACCACCGATAAATACTTATCACACCATCTCGACAATACGTACCTCACTATTCCTCTCATTACTTAAAAAGTGTTGAGCGACGTGATCCGGAAGGATATTTTTTAGTAACTGCGTATTCGTGTGTCTCGTTTCTTGCATATCATTCAACTCGCGTTCGGCTTGTTGTTTCCATAGAAAGTCCAAACGGGAAGTTACTTCCACGAGTCTAGCGTGGTACGCCACCATGAGGAAGAAGACAATCAGAAGAATCGACATCTGTACCGATAAAGGCGTACTATCGTCATTGTCGTTGTGATTGTCGCCTTCTTGGAACACTCGTTGAAACGGTACTAGAATTAGTACGATGTAGACGGCCAACATGACGATGGCTAGGAAGAGCTTGATCAAGTAGTAGAGTTTGAGAGCTGTGGCTAAAGCGATGAGGCAGAGAATCCACGTAAAAACGATATACTCAGGGTGTTGACACGTCGAGAAGTCGGTAGCCGCGGACGCGTTGACCGTCTTAGTACTCCTTTGAACGAGTACCGAAAACCCGCTTTCGTTCTCTCGGGTTATCGTCGGGTGTCTCTGGAGCAGTACCGGGAGAAGTACGATTTCCGTGTCGTTCGGAATTGAGCGTTTTGTTCTCGTGATATTAAAAGCTTCCCCGTTTTTGATACTTGCCAGAGTCTGGTTCAAGAGTTGAAGCTTCTGGTTGATACTACTAATAACAGCACTCGTTTCGTTCGTCAGAAGTGATATGTTTTCGGCTTCCTTCATCAACTCGTCGATGTCCACATTCCTCAACAACTCCAAAGACTTAACACAGTCCTCTGAACAATTTTGTCTGTTCGAAGAATCCGCCACTGCGATATTTTTCCCGCTGATCCACCCCCACAAGATCTCCTTGGTCTTATCCGAGGCGTTCAACCTCGCCAACTTCTCGCTATCAAACAACCCCGACAAGTTCGAAATGAAGAGGGGCTGCTTCAACAACACCCCCACCTCCCTGCCGCCCACTGAAGCCTCCTCCGCCTCCTCTTCGCTTAAAATCAAGCTCGAGGAACTGGTCAGCGCCATGATGACGATGACCCCGCAGATGAACGCAGTTCGCGTCTTCCGATTGTGCACCAACGTGGACGAGATCTTCTGGAGGGACTCCGGGAGCTGCTCGAACTCCTCTGCCATCACCAGAACGCTGGTGGAGGTCAGGATTAAGGTGGTGATGGTAAGGAAGGCGATGACGATGTCGTTGAGCTGGCGGAAGGCTACGACTTGGCAGACGACGATGAGCAGCCAGATGATGAAGCAGCACAGCATGTTGGACTTGAACATGTCCTCGCGCAGTTGGCTGAATTGGTACTCCATGTCTTTGTCGATGAAGCGGAGGGTCCAGGTGTTGACGTTGGCGTTGCGCATGCGCTTGTTGCTCTCGATTTCGATGCTGTGGTCGATGATGTCGTCGACTTGTTCGGTGGTGGAGGGGAAGGTGGAGTTGCGTTTGCGCATGCGCGATTCGGAGAGGTCGTATTTTTGCTTGTTGTAGTTGATGGAGTCGAGGTCTTCGTCGAGGTCGCCGGAGAGGGCGTGGTGGAGCTGGAAGAAATAGATATGAACTTAGTTGGTGTGCACCCGTTTCCGTCTGTCTGTCTGTCTGTCTGACGTCTGTCCGGGTTTTTTGACCGGCAGTTGTCAAATTTTTTGTCTATGTTAGGAATACAAACGATATTAAAATTTTATAAATTAACATACTCTTTCATTTGTGGTTTATGAATCCGTCTTGAGTTTATACCACACGCATCCAGATTTTTGAAAAACAAATCATAATTGTATAACATTTTACAATCTAACTTTGAAACTGCAAATTCGAATGCTTTGAAATCTTGCAAACTATAGATATAACAATTTTTGGATTTCTCCGTTTTTCGAATTTTCGATTTCTCGATATTTTAGTTTGGGGATTTTTCAATTTGTCTTCAATTCTTCAATTTCTCGATTTTTCTTTCCATTTTCAGTTTCGCGATTTTCAATATTCGATTACTCAAGTTTTCGATATTTCAAATCTTGAAATATTTCTTCTTTAATTTCTCAATTTTTCAGAATTTCGATTTTTCAACTTTTCGATTTTCCAAATTTTAAATTTTCGACTTCTCCATTTCCCGATAAATCGATTTTTTTATCATCGATTTTTGATTTTTCTGGTTTTTAATTTTTCAATTTTTTGACTTTTTGACTTCGATCTTTCCAATTTTCGATTTTTTCCATTTTTCGATATTTCAGACTTGAAATTTTTCGGTTCTTTTAATTTTTCTTGCATTTTTCAATTTACTATATAATAATTATAACATATTTATCTCCGATTTTTTGATTTTTTATTTTTTCAGTTTTTCAGTATTTTAATTTTTCAACATTTAAAGTTTTAGATTTTTCGTTTTTTCAATTCTTCCATATTCTATTTTTCCATTTTTCGAATTTTTTAATTTCAAAAATTTTCAGTTTCTTGAATATTTCGACTTGCCGGTTTTTCAATTTTCCGATTTTTAAAATTTGTAATTTTTGGAATTTTCCAATTTTTCGAATTCCTGATTTACCGAGATTCTTGTTTCGATCTGTCATTTGTTCGATTTCCCGATTTCACGTTTTTTCAACTTTTCCATTATTCGATTTGTAGATTTTTTAAATTTACAAATATTCACTTTTTCATTTTTTAATTTAAAATTTTTCCGTTTTTCGAATTTTTAAATTTTAGAATTCTCAGTTTTTTGATGATTCTATTTCTCTCTCTTTCGATTTTTCGACTTCTCGGTTTTTCAATGTTTCGATTTTTAAAATTTGGAATTTTTTTAATTTTTTTAGCTTCTGGATTTTTCGAGATTTATATGATTTAATCTTTCGATTGTTCAGTTTCAATTTTTTCGGATTTTCAACTTTTCGATTGATCTTTTTTTCAATTTTAAATTTTTTAATTTAAAATTTTTCAATTTTAAACTTTTTGATTTTTGATTTCTCAGTTTTTAGACTTTTTGACTTTTCGACTTTTCGATTTCTCGATCTTTTGGTGTTTCGATTTCTCGATGTTTCAGTTTTTAATTTCTCGATGTTTATTCGATTTTCGCAATTTTTGGCGTTTTGACTTTTCGGTTTTTGATTATCCGATTTTTCGATGTTTCGATTTTTCAGATTTTCGATTTCCAAATTTGCATATCTGTTTTAGAATTTCTCATTTTCTTGATTTTTCAGTTTTCGGAATTTTTAATTTTTTGTTTTTTTTTTTAAGTTTGCATTTTTCAGTTTATCGTTTCTTCTTCAGATTTAGGACTTTTTTATTCCTTAATTTTTCGATTTTCAATTTTTCAATTTTTAAAATTTCAAATTCTTAAAGTTTCGATTTTTTAGTTTTTTGATATTTCGAGTTCTTGATCTATTAATTTTGCAACTCGGTTTTAGACTTTTATTTTTTTTAATTTTTCGAATTAAAAAGATTTCCATTTTTCGATTTTTCATCTGTTCAATTTTTCGTCATTTGTGTTTTGGAATTTTTCATTTTCTTGAAATTTTAATTTTTCTATTTTTTACATTTTTGACTTCGATTTTTCGATTTTTTGATTTTTTTAATTTTCAATTTTTTCATTTTTCAGATTTGATTTTTTAAAATTTTCAGTTTTTCTATTTTCAATTTTTTGAATTTTACATTTATTGAAATTTTTATGTTTCGATTTTTGGTTTGTTCTATTTCCCGATTCTTCGATTTTTTAACTTTTCGATTATTAGATTTATGAATTTTTTTAATTTAAATTTTTAAATTTGTAATTTTTTTAATTTAAAATTGTTCAGTTATTGAATTTTAAATTTGTCGAGTTTTCGACTTTTCGGCTTTTCGATTTCCACATTTTTCGTGATTTATGTTTTAAAATTTTGCAATTTCTTGATTTTTCAGTTTTTCGATTCTTTAATTTTCTGATTTTTCAGCTTTTCGAATTTTTAAGTTTTAAATTTTTCGGTGTTTTGATGTTCGAATTTTCGATTTTTCAATACTTCAATTTTTTGATTTATCGAAATATTTGTTTTTCGATATTAATTATTTTTTATTTAAAATTTTCGTTTTTTTTAATCTAAAATTTTTCAGTTTTTCAATTTTAAACTTTTCAATTTTGGGCTAATTCGAGTGCTCAATTTTTCGATTTTTCGATATTTTAATTTTTCAATTTTTAAAATTTTAGATTTTTTGTTTTTTCGTTTTTTCAGTTTTTCAAAAAAATTATCTGAATTCTTCCATTTTTCGCGATGTTTGATTTTCGATTTTTCGACTTTTCGATTTATATTTTCAATTCAAAATTTCCTGTTTTTTTAACTTACAATTTTTCAATTTTAAACGTTTCGGTTTTGGACTATTTCGGTTCCTCAATTTTTCAATTTTTCGACTTCTTGACTTTTCCGATTTCTCGTTTTTTCATCATTTTCGGTTTTTCGATTTTCCACTTTTACGATTTCCAAATTTTTCATCATTTCTTTTGCGAATTTTTTAAACTTCTTTTACTTTAAATTTTTAAATTTTTTTATTTTGGGATTTTTCGATTTCTCGGTTTTTCATTATTTCTGTTTTGGAAATTTTCGATTTCTTGATTTTTCAGTTTTTCGATTCTTCAATTTTCTGATTTTACAATTTTTCGTTTTTTTTTATTTTGTATTTTTTAATTTATGGATTCTTCAATTTTTCCATATTCCATTTTCGCATTTTTGATATTTTTATTTTTTAATTTTTAAAATTGTCGATTTTTTGATTTCTGGATTTTACGATTTCCCGGTTTTTTGATTTTTCGACTTTTCGGTTTTTCAATTTTTCAGTTTCGAATTTTTAAATTTTAGATTTTCAGTTTTTTAATTTCCCGATTTTTCAATTTTTCGACAACTCGGTTTTAGATTTTTAATTTTTCAATTCTTCGAGTTTTCGATTTATCGAAATTTTTGTTTTTCGATTTTTCAACTTTTCAATTTTATTGATAATTTTTAATTTAAATTTTTCGATTTTGTTTTAATATAAAATTTTTCAATTTTTGAATTTTAAACTTTTCGATTTGGGTTATTTCGATTTCTCAATTTTTCAGTTTTTCGACTTCTTAACATTTCGATTTCTCGATTTTTTGAGCTTTTGAGGCTTCAATTTCTCGTCAGTTTTTCAATTTTTCAACGTTTCGATTTTTTGATTTATCGATTTTTTGACTTTTCGGATTTTCGATCTTCCAATTTCTCGAATTCCCATTTTTCGTCATTTTTCTGTTTTGGATTTTTTTAATTTCTTGGACTTTTAATTTTTCTATTTTTTTTAAATTTTGAATTTTTCGATTTCTCGTTTTTTTTATTTTTCGGTTTTTTGATTTTTCGACTTTTCAGCTTTTCAATTTTTTAATTTTTCGATTTTACAAATTTTTGATGTTTCGATTTTTGACATCTCGGTTTTGCCAGTTTTCGATTTCTCAGTTTTTTAATGTTTCAATTTTGGGAATTTTTAAATTTTTCCATATATTTAATTATTATTCGAACTTTTAAAGTTAATTTTTTTCTATTTTGTGATGTTTCGATTGCTCGATGTATCGATTTTTGGACTTTTTCGTTTTGATTTTTCGGTTTTTTGATTTTTAGACTTTCACCTTTTCACTGTTTTAATTATACATTTTTCGATTTTACAAATTTTTATGTTTCGATTTTTTGACACCTTGGTTGCAGTTTTCGATTTTTTAGTTTTTCAATATTTCAATTTTGGGAATTTTTAAATTTTTCAATATTTTATTTTTTCGAATTTTTAACTTTTAGGTTTTTCGATTTTGTGATATTTCAATTGCTTGATGTATGGATTTTTTGACTTATTGAGTTTTCATTTTTTGCTTTTTCAATTTTTCGATTTTTAAAATTTTTGAATTTTTGAAATTCTGGATTTATCAATATTCCGATGTTTCAATTTTTTCGATTGTTCGATTTTTCGACATTACGACTTTCCAGTTTTTCGATGTTCCGAAAGACATTTTTTCCCATCACGGCTGCAGTTATTTTGAGTATTTAAAACTTTTTTAATCACTATCATGTACCCATAATCTACCCGCCGACAGCCGCCTCATTTTGTCGCTCCCACTTAAAAAATTACGCTTTAATTTTAGCCCCGAATCAATATTAATTCATCGCGGCTTTAATTCCATTGTTAGACAGTTCCCAACTTCTCCATCTCCGCCACTGCAAACTAATAACATTAAGTAGATAATGCAATTATTATGAAACCCAGCGCGCTCCTGGTCCCCCCTTACACGGCTCGATAAAACACCAAATTAATTAAAAACAAATACACTGATAAAAAATCCAAGCTAATCTCCTCTTTCGCCAAACAACTACACGCCCTAGCGCGACCCAACGTACACCCGCCACAGGCGAGCTCACTCTCGTGACCCCACCTTCACCCGCCGTGACGCAACACCTACAACACCTACATTCTCGAACGGGATCTCCGGCGTCCAGTCCGTGGTGTTCTCCTCCTCGACCGTGCTCTGCTGAATACCGCTGTCGCTCCGCTCGATGGAGGCCTGCGGGGGCGGCGACGCCGGCGTCGACGGCGTCTTGGGCGAGCTCAACCCGCTCACGACGTGCTCGTCCTCCGGCCACAACTTATTCGAGAAGATGCTGGGCCTGGAGGCCAGCCGCCGCCGGGTCCGCATGGGCTCGACCTGCTTGATCAGGTAGGTGGTGACGTCGTGCTCGCGCAGGTAGGAGTCGCGGTCCTGGCCGCTGCCGGGCTCCACCTCGTAGGCGCCGTTGAGGCACTGGTAGGTGCTTTCGGAAATATGAACCCGTCTACAAATTAATAATAATAATAATAACGACATGAAGGGCTGTAATGACGAGGGAAGTACCCAGGAATGCCTCCAGATTCCATATGGTTGGCCAGAAGCACGTCGTACGACCAGATGTCGAACTGCCATTTTCGCAGACCCAGCACGCCACACAGAACTGAGCCCGAGTGAATTCCGATCCGCATGTTAAGGTCAACCTAAAACAACAACGTTATCTTAGAGCTGATAAGAGACTATCTATTTTTAAGCGACGCCGGCTGTTGATACAGGTGATCAATTGTCTCGTCTTCCTTGCTACAGTAAGTTTACGCTTTTATTACTACTAGTATTACTATTATTTATTATTATTATTGTCTAGATGGACGCAAAACCTTCTATTACCAGAGATGAGGTGTCAAAGGTCATTGCCAATAAACTCAAGTCGGACGAATTTGACCTTGTTGACTACTCTCTAAGGATGCTGGGTGAATGGGTGGGTTTGTGTGGCGACCACGCTATCTTGGAAACCACCATCAAGCAAGACGAAGAAACCCAGTATACCTTTTTCGTCAAGTTGTACCCACGAGTCCCACTAGTTATCGAGTTCATCGAAGGAACCGGCTCCTTCAAGAAAGAAATCTTCGTCTATAGACTTTTCGATCTTTACGAAAAAGAAGAGGTCAAAATTTTGGCCGAGTGCGTCCCCAAGTGCTATCTTTCTATTGACGAAAAATTCCTCGTAATGGAAAATTTGATCGAGCAAGGTTACACCAGTGTCAACAAATACGATCTATTCGACTATGATACTCTTAAAGTGGTTTTGGAAGCCTTATCCAAGCTCCACGCGAGTACCCTCATCTATGAAGAACGCACGTCTAGACGATTAATCGACGTGTATGAAGCAGAGCTAGAAGAGACTTATTACAACGAGCGTCCAGATTTTCCTCTAAAAGAAGAAATAGAAGCCGCAATCACTGGTATTTTAAACTCAACGCAGCTCTTCAATCTTCCGGATAAACTCCTCTCGGGAAAAAATTTTCGCACAGTCTTGGAAGAAGTATGCCGGAGGGTCCACTCTCTGGCTCGACCCTCCAAATCTTTCCGGAACGTGGTATGTCATGGTGACATATGGGCGACTAATCTTGTGATCAAACGCGACCATAATGGTACCCCGGTACGTTCCAAACTCGTCGATTTTCAATGCGGAAGGTACGTACCACCGGCACAGGACGTCATGTCGGTCATACACTTAACCACGGCGAGAGAATTCAGAAAAAGGTACATGTACAACCTAATCGGGATCTACTACACGTGTCTGGAAAAACACGTAACCCTCGCTGGGTACGATATGAAGAAAATCATCCCGTTTGAAGAGTTTTTGGCCAGTTGTGAAGAACAAAAGGTTTTTGCGATGGTCCAAACCGGCTGCTATTTTCCACTGATTCTACTAGAAAGCCAGGAAATCCAGGACTTTTTTGGGGACAAGGAGAAGAACAAGGACGCTCTTTACGTGGATAGAAGCATCCTGGTCAAAGCGCATCTAGACGATGAAAAATATAGCAACAGAATGCGCGATTGTCTTCTAGATTTGAAAGAATACTGTGACTATTTATAAATAAAAACTAACTTGTTAGTAGTTGTTTGGTTATTTATTTTCAAAAAAAAGTCGCAGCTCATCTAGCGCTTCTATGTTCATTTTTCCAAAAATTGGGTCCCGGTGCCAACTCGAAACGATAAAGTCGTACTTGTTTTCGAAAAACACGAACTGAGCGACTGACGGGTTTGAGACCATGAGGGTTTGGAGGAGAGCGAACCCTTGAGACCATGTTTCCCAAAATTTTGACCTAGTTCGTCGTGGTAGAAACCAAGCACTTAGTCTAGATGGTCATCCCTCAGCTTCTTGTCCGTGGTCAAGTGAAGAAAAGCCATCACGTCTTGACCTGGCGGACAATATCGGTACGACTGGAAGTCAACCATGACACACTTGACGTCTCGATCGTCGAACTTGAACATCAAGTTCTTGGTCCAAGGGTCACCATGGCAAATCGTGTTCCGAAATTTCGTCGACGGTTGGGCAAACAATTTCTGTTGGTCGAGACCATCTAGAATTTTTTCCATGAACATAGATTTTGGTATCGTCATGGTCTGGGTGTGAGTCAAGTCGACTAGAGCGCGCAGACCATGCTTCGACGACGCGTACGCTTTTTTCACCGACTCTTTGTCAGAATAGAACGTTTCGGCCACTTCATCCTCAAACTCGTCGACCAACCAAAATTGCTTTTTTTCCTCTAGAATAATACAGCTGGCGTGCAGTTTGGCGAACGTTGTCAAGGCCGCTTTGACACTCTCTAGGTCTAGAGAAACGCGAGACGGCAAAGTTTTGTAGCCTTTTGACACCAAGTCGTCGAAGACGAAAGTTTCGTCATTCACGAGGAAACACCGAGGAATTGCACCCTCTAGCACCTTGATCGAGTGTTTTTCCAAGAGATTAAGGTACCTGGTGAAAAAGCGGTGTTCCTTGAAGAAGCCGTTGATTTCCAATAGGAATTGCCTCTGTGATGGTACTGTCGGTAAAGTCTTGACGAAAAAATTGTGACTTTCGTTGCACTGGTTGCGTTTGATGGTCACAGTTAAAAGGGAATGGTCACCCAAATAACCATTCTTGTGGTCGAAGGTGGAATTCCGCACTTCGACTATCACAAAATCGTCATTGAGCTTCTTTGACACGATTTTTTGGCAATCGGAGTGCGAAAAAGTGGGTGTTTCCATGATGGTTGTAACAATACTAAACACGATCTTTTGGTTTAAAAATATATTGTTTAATATTTAGTTGGTATTAAGTGTGATTTATTGTCTACAAGAGATAACAACCTGAATAAGAATACAATTCATTGTCAAGGATTCAGTTCATAAAACCGTCTCAATTCTCGAACCGCTTCGAAATTAATCTGTCGAAAAACTGGGTCACTTTGGCACATAGTTTTGACAAAGTTGTATCTATCGTCAAAGGTCACCGTCTTCGTTTGGTCCGGAACGGCAACCATTTGACAGCGACCGAGCGCCTGAATCAGCGCAAACTCTTTGAAATATTGACAACTTTCGACAAACTCGCGCTTCGACAACACCCCAACCCCCAAATTGTCAACCAACTCGTTATAGTAAAACTCGACGAATTCGTCAAAGTGCTTCGTTCTCACGTCTTCACTCGTCACGAAATGAAGAAAAGTCATGACATCTTGCCCCGGTGGCGCGTAGCGATAGGACTGAAAGTCAACAAGAACACACTCGATTTTGTCTTCAACCTTAAACATGAAGTTGTTCTTCCAAAGATCGCCATGGCAAATCGTGCTCTTGAATTTGGTCGACGATTTGCCAAACAAGGTTCGTGAATCAAAACCGTCAAGCACCTTGGTTTTGAACTTGTCTTTGGTTTGGGTTAAGGTTTCGTCGTAAACGTCAATCAAGGCTTCAATTCCGCGTCTCGTGAGCTGGATTGCCTTCTTAACTGAGGGTTTGTCGGAGTAATAGGTGTTAAATTCGTCGAAATGGTCGCACAGTTTTGACGATTTTTTGTCTTGGAGGAAGAATCCAGAAGCGTGTAGTTTCGCCAGAGTGGATAATCCGGCTTTGACGAAATTCGTGTCAAAAGGAAGCCTAGGCGGAAGTGTTGTGTACCCTTTGGTTGTAAGATCTTCCAAAATTAAGATGTTTGGACGACTATAGAAACAAGAAGGCACTATTTTGTCGACTAAATCAATTGAATGTTTCGTCAATTCGTGGCAAAATTTTCCATAGAAGAAGTCTTCTTTGACGAAAGCGTTGATTTCAAGCGCGAGGTTTCTCTGTGACGGGTTTGACGGCAGACATTTGGCAAAATAATTCAAGGTTTGGTTTTTACCTAAATGTTTGATGGTGATTTTAAGACTTGAATGGTCACCCAAGTAGCCTCCAATTTCGTCTAAACTTGTCTTTTGGGCACTCAAAATGGTGAAATCGTCAGTCTTGAGTGTTTTGCTGACGATTTTTCGATAGTCGAAAGATGACAGGTTAATACTTTCCATCTTGTTTAGCAGTCGCGCTTATGCAAACTGATTTGATTAATAAGACGGACTTGGAGTTCGATTTATCGATAAGATAAGTAGTGTTTTGAAACTTGAAGATAAGGAAAATCAACATATTTAGGGGACTTCCGCAAAATAAAATAAAAAACTGTTATTTACTAAGTATCACGTTTGTATTATAACTGGTCTTCGTAGAATTGACTCAGTTCGGTTATTGCTTCAAAATTTACCTTTTTATAAAGCTCGTCTTTCTCACAAGCGGTAAAAACAAAGTCGTACTTGTTTTCAAACAACACGAAAAATGCGTACTTTTCGTCCGCCAGTAACTCAGTGGCGATTTCTTGAGACAGCGCCACCACTTGCAAATGGATGCATTTTTGGGTCAAAGCAAACTGTCTGAAAAAGTCACAACTGGTGGAAAACTCGTCTTGACTGATAATCCCCCCGAGCCCAAACCCTGTCAAAACGTGGTCAAGCTCTTGGTAGTAAAAATGAAGCATTTCTTCCATGTGCTTCTGGCGAAATTTTTGATCAGTGGTCAGATGAAGAAACGCCACGACGTCTTGCGCCGGCGGCCCGTACCGATGCGACTGAAAATCCACAAGCACGCAATTCACAGGTCTTCCATCTTCAAACTTGAACATCATGTTCTTGGTCCAGAGATCTCCGTGAAGAAACGTGTTCCGGAAAGTCGTGGACGGTTTGACGAATTGTTTTTGAAGATCGTACCCTTCCAAAATTTTTTGTCGCAGCAAGGTCTTCGATATCTTCATTCTAGGATTGTAGGTCAAGTCTATAAAGGCGTTAAATCCGTGACGGTACGACGTTGCCGCCTTCTTCACCGTTTCTTTGTCCGAGTAGAAAGTCTCTGCTAGTTCTTCAGAAAACGCGTCTATGAGTCGGAACGATTTCTTCTCTTCTAGAACTATAGCGCTTGCGTGGAGTTTAGCGATTGCTTTGAGGGCGATTTTCACACATTCTAGGTCCATGGAGGTTCTACAGGACAGGGTGGTGTAGCCAGTTTGGCTTAAATCTTCAAAGGCGAAAATTTTCCCATCTGTGTAGTAGCAAGTGGGGATTGTGTCATCTAGAACGGTGATTGAGTGTTCTCGCAATAGATCTAGAAACTGCGTGAAGAAAAATTTTTCTTTGAAGAAGCCGTTTATTTCGAGGATGAAGTCGCGCTGGGATTTCACTGTAGGGATCGATTTTATGAAGAAAGTGTGTTTTTCGTGGCCAGAGTTTCGTTCGATGGTGATCTTCAGTGAAGAATGGTCACCCAAAAACCCGTTCACTTGTCCGAAAGGGGCTTGGTGGAAATCGATCACCAAGAAATCGCCAGTTTTGAGTTTTCTGGATATGATTTGTTCGCATAGCGACAATGTGTCTGACGTGTTCATTGTACTAGACTGAGGGTTTCAAGGTTTGATGCAACATATAAATAAATCGTGGTTTGTTTTGGATTAAGATTAATTTATTGCTCCTTTGTGAGAAAGTCGCATTGAATAATAAATCTAAATGGACAACCAAGTGTTTTTAGGAGACTATAATTTATCTTCATAGAACTCCCTCAGTTCAGAAAGTGCTTCAAAATTCTTCGTTTTGTAGCCTTTATCCTTCGCACTAGCGGCAATCACAAAATTGTACATATCTTCAAACAGAACGAACTGTGTTTTCTCTTCGCCTGCCAGTAATTCGGCAGCAACTTCTTCAGACAATGTCACCACATGGGAATGGGACTGATTACCCTTCCAAGCCCAAACCTCGTCAAAAGACAGTCAAACTCTTGATAATAAAATCGAAGCATTTCTTCAAAGTGTTTCGTCCGAAACTCCCGATTGGTACTCAGATGAAGAAACCCCACGACGTCTTGTCCCGGCGGTCCGTAGCGATACGACTGAAAGTCCACAAGCACGCAATTCACAGGTCTCGAATCTTCAAACTTGACCATAACATTCTTAGTCTAAAGATCTCCATGAAGAATCGTATTCTTGAAGATCGTCGACGGTTTCACGAACTCTTTCTGAAGATCGTGCCCTTCACAAACTTTCTCCCTTAGCAAGTTCTTCGATATCTTCATTTCGTCTTGGTGCGTCAAGTCAAACAAAGCATCAAAGCCGCGATTGTGCGCCACTACTCCTTTCTTCACCATTTCTTTATCACAAACAAGAGTCTCTGCTAGTTCTTCAGAAAACGCGTCTATGAGTCGGAACGATTTCTTCTCTTCTAGAATTATAGCGCTTGCGTGGAGTTTAGCGAGAGCTGCGAGGGCTACTTTCACACACTCGAAATCCAGAGACGTGGTGGTGTAGCCGTCTTCAGTTAAATCTTCAAAGACGAAGATCTTCCCATCTGTGTAGTAGCAAGTGGGGATTGCGTCATCTAAGATAGTGATTGAGTGTTCGTGCAAGAGATCTTGCAACTTGGTGAAGAAAAATTCTTCTTTGAAGGAACCGTTCACGTCGAGGATGTAATCGCGTTGCGATTTGCCCGTGGGGATGGACTTTACGAAGAAATTGTGCTTTTCGTGGTCGGAGTTTCGTTCGATGGTGATTTTCAGTGAAGAATGATCACCCAAAAACCCGTTCACTTTATCGAACGGAGTTTGATGGAAATCGACCACCGAGAAGTCGTCGGTTTTGGTTTTCGGGATACAATTTGTTGGCATAGTGACGTGGAAAACACTGAGGATCTCGAGGCTTGATTCAACATTTAAATAAACGTTGTTTGTTTGGTTTTACGATTTAATCTATTGTTCTTTTGTGAAAAAAATTCGCGTTGAATAACAAGATTTTAGTTTTAAATTGACGTTTTACAGTTAAACCAACTGTTTTTTGTAAAAATAACTCGTCAGTGATAGCTTTTAAGTTCCTTTTCACGAAGACGTCACCCTTGACGCACACTCCTAATGAAGTCGTGCTTATCTAGGACAATATTGGACAATACTTATCTTGGCCAATACCAAAATCACCACCTGAAAGTGCGTCAAAGTTTGGGTCAAAGCAAATTGTTTAAAATAGTTATAACGAATTTTTGCCGAATGATATACTCGCTACACGTCATATTTTTAGAGGGTAGGTTATCTGCCAATATCAGTCTTATCGCAGCAGGATTTAGCCCCGCCCATCCACCCTCTCTTTTCTTACAGGATATGTCATCTGCCAAAATCAGTCTTATCTTGGCAGCTAATAGGCTTCTAATTAAATAAAGGGTGGGTGGGTGGGGACAATACTTGTCAAGGCAAGACTAATTTTGCCCAATGATATACCTTCTACCCTTCATTTTCTTAGAGGGTATGTCATTTGGCAAAATCAGTCTTATCTTAGCAGATACCAACTCTCTAAGAAAATAAAGGGCGGGTGGGCGAGGCTAGTACTGACCAAGATAAGGCTGACATTGCCAAATACCATACTCTTTAAGAAAATAAAGGGTGGGCGAGTGGGCTCAACACTTGCCAAAATAAGACTAATTTTGCCTAATAATTTACCCCCTACCCTTCATTTTCTTAGAGGTTAGGTCATTTGCCAATATCAGTATAATCTTAGCAGGTACTAGCCCCGCCCACCACCCTCTCTTTTTTTAGAAGATATGTGATATGCCAAAATTAGTCTTATCTTGGTAACTACTAGCCTTCTAAGTAAATAAAGGGTGGGTGGGTGGGGCCAATCCTTGTCAAGATAAGACTGATTTTTCCAAATGATATACCTTCTACCCTTCATTTTTTTAGAGGGTATGTCATTTGCCAGTATCAGTCTTTTCTTATCAGGTAGTAGCCCCGCCCACCCACCTTCTGTTTTCTTAGAGGATATGTCATTTGCCAAAATTAGTCTTATCTTGGCCTTCTAAAAAAATAAAGGGTGGTTAGGTGGGGTCATTACTTGTCAAGATAAGACTAATTTTGTCAAATAATATACCCGCTACCCTTCATTTTCTTAGAGGGTAGGTCATTTGCCAATATCTGTCTTATCTTAGCAGGTACTGACCTGACGTGACCTGACCTGACCTGACCTGACCTGACCTGACCCACCCTCTCTTTTATTAGAGGATATGTCATTTGCCAAAATCAGTCTTATCTTGGCAGCTACTAGCCTTCTAATTAAATAAAGGGTGGGTGGATGGGGCCAATACTTGTCAAAATAAAACTGATTTTGCCAAATGATATACCTTCTACCTTTCATTTTCTTAGAGGGTATGTCATTTGCCAAAATCAGTCTCATCTTGGCAGCTACTAGCCTTCTAAGTAAATAAAGGGTGGGTGGGTGGGGCCAATCCTTGTCAAGATAAGGCTGATTTTTCCAAATGAAATACCTTCTATCCCTCATTTTCTTAGAGGGTATGTCATTTGCAAATATCAGTCTTATCTTATCAGGTAGTACCCCGCCCACCCACCCTCTGTTTTCTTAGAGGATATGTCATTTGCCAAAATTAGTCTTATCTTGGCCTTCTAAAAAAATAAAGGGTGGTTGGGTGGGGTCATTACTTGTCAAGATAAGACTAATTTTGTCAAATAATATACCCGCTACCCTTCATTTTCTTAGAGGGTAGGTCCTTTGCCAATATCCGTCTTATCTTAGCAGGTACTAGTCCCGCCCACCCACCCTCTCTTTTCTTAGAGGATATGTCATTTGCCAAAATCAGTTTTATCTTAGCAGCTACTAGCCTTCTAATTAAATAAAGGGTGGGTGGGTGGGGCCAATACTTGTCAAAATAAGACTGATTTTGCCCAATGATATACCTTCTACCTTTCATTTTCTTAGAGGGTATGTCATTTGCCAAAATCAGTCTTATCTTGGCAGCTACTAGCCTTCTAAGTAAATAAAGGGTGGGCCAATCCTTGTCAAGATAAGACTGATTTTTCCAAATAATATACCTTCTACCCTTCATTTTCTTAGAGGGTATGTCATTTGCCAATATCATTCTTATCTTATCAGGTAGTAGCCCCGCCCACCAACCCTCTGTTTTCTGAGAGGATATGTCATTTGCGAAAATTAGTCTTATCTTGGCCTTCTAAAAAAATAAAGGGTGGTTGAGTGGGGTCATTACTTGTCAAGATAAGACTAATTTTGTCAAATAATATACCCGCTACCCTTCATTTTCTTAGAGGGTAGGTCATTTGCCAATATCCGTCTTATCTTAGCAGGTACTAGTCCCGCCCACTCACCCTCTCTTTTCTTAGAGGATATGTCATTTGCCAAAATCAGTTTTATCTTAGCAGCTACTAGCCTTCTAATTAAATAAAGGGTGGGTGGGTGGGGCCAATACTTGTCAAAATAAGACTGATTTTGCCCAATGATATACCTTCTACCTTTCATTTTCTTAGAGGGTATGTCATTTGCCAAAATCAGTCTTATCTTGGCAGCTACTAGCCTTCTAAGTAAATAAAGGGTGGGCCAATCCTTGTCAAGATAAGACTGATTTTTCCAAATAATATACCTTCTACCCTTCATTTTCTTAGAGGGTATGTCATTTGCCAATATCATTCTTATCTTATCAGGTAGTAGCCCCGCCCACCCACCCTCTGTTTTCTGAGAGGATATGTCATTTGCCAAAATTAGTCTTATCTTGGCTTTCTAAAAAAATAAAGGGTGGTTGGGTGGGGTCATTACTTGTCAAGATAAGACTAATTTTGTCAAATAATATACCCGCTACCCTTCATTTTCTTAGAGGGTAGGTCATTTGCCAATATCCGTCTTATCTTAGCAGGTACTAGTCCCGCCCACTCACCCTCTCTTTTCTTAGAGGATATGTCATTTGCCAAAATCAGTTTTATCTTAGCAGCTACTAGCCTTCTAATTAAATAAAGGGTGGGTGGGTGGGGCCAATACTTGTCAAAATAAGACTGATTTTGCCCAATGATATACCTTCTACCTTTCATTTTCTTAGAGGGTATGTCATTTGCCAAAATCAGTCTTATCTTGGCAGCTACTAGCCTTCTAAGTAAATAAAGGGTGGGCCAATCCTTGTCAAGATAAGACTGATTTTTCCAAATAATATACCTTCTACCCTTCATTTTCTTAGAGGGTATGTCATTTGCCAATATCATTCTTATCTTATCAGGTAGTAGCCCCGCCCACCCACCCTCTGTTTTCTGAGAGGATATGTCATTTGCCAAAATTAGTCTTATCTTGGCTTTCTAAAAAAATAAAGGGTGGTTGGGTGGGGTCATTACTTGTCAAGATAAGACTAATTTTGTCAAATAATATACCCGCTACCCTTCATTTTCTTAGAGGGTAGGTCATTTGCCAATATCCGTCTTATCTTAGCAGGTACTAGTCCCGCCCACTCACCCTCTCTTTTCTTAGAGGATATGTCATTTGCCAAAATCAGTTTTATCTTAGCAGCTACTAGCCTTCTAATTAAATAAAGGGTGGGTGGGTGGGGCCAATACTTGTCAAAATAAGACTGATTTTGCCCAATGATATACCTTCTACCTTTCATTTTCTTAGAGGGTATGTCATTTGCCAAAATCAGTCTTATCTTGGCAGCTACTAGCCTTCTAAGTAAATAAAGGGTGGGCCAATCCTTGTCAAGATAAGACTGATTTTTCCAAATAATATACCTTCTACCCTTCATTTTCTTAGAGGGTATGTCATTTGCCAATATCAGTCTTATCTTATCAGGTAGTAGCCCCGCCCACCCACCCTCTGTTTTCTTAGAGGATATGTCATTTGCCAAAATTAGTCTTATCTTGGCCTTCTAAAAAAATAAAGGGTGGTTGGGTGGGGTCATTACTTGTCAAGATAAGACTAATTTTGTCAAATAATATACCCGCTACCCTTCATTTTCTTAGAGGGTAGGTCATTTGCCAATATCCGTCTTATCTTAGCAGGTACTAGTTCCGCCCACCCACCCTCTCTTTTCTTAGAGGATGTCATTTGCCAAAATCAGTCGAAAAATCGCAAACTTAAAAAATCGAAAAATTGAAAAATCAACAACCTGAAAAATCGAAAAACTGAAGAACTGAAAGATCGAAACTTTGGGAAGTGGAGAAGTGAGAAAATAAAAATATAGATTAATTGAGAAATCCGAAAACTGAAAATTCAGAAAAGTCAAAATTTGAAAATTAAAAAATATTGAAGAATTGAAAAATAGAAAAATTTAAAATTTAAAACATTGAGAAATTAAAATATCGTAAAATTGAAAAATGGAGAATTTCAAATATCAAAAATCAAAAAAATTAAAATTCGAAAACCCAAAATTTAACAAATCGAGAAAGTGAACAATCGGTTAACTGAAAAATTGAAACATCGAAAATTGGAAAATCGAAAAATTTTAAAAAATTAGAAAATCGAAAATTGAAAAATTCCGAAAATTGAAAAATTAAAATATAGAACTGAAAACTCGAATATCTAAAAGTTGAAAAATTGAGACATCGAAGCATAAAACAGGAAAATTGAAAATCCAAAAAGTAAAAAGTCGAGAAATCGAAAAATCCGGAACTCGAAGAATCGAAAAACTGAAAAATCACAAAATTGAACGAAACATCAAAAAATTAGGAAAGTAAAAAATTGAAACACCGAAAAGTCAAAAGAGCAAAGTCGAAAAATTGAAAAATCACAAATCTGAAAAATCGAAAAACTGGAGAACTGAAAGATCGAAACTTTGGAAAGTGGGGACATGAGAAAATAAAAATATAGATTAATTGAGAAATCCGAAAACTGAAAATTCAGAAACGTCAAACTTTGAAAAATTAAAAAATATTGAAGAACTGAAAAATAGAAAAATCTAAAGTTTAAAACATTGAAAAATGGAGAAATTCAAACATCAAAATATAAAAAAAAAAATTCGAAAATCTAAAATTTAACAAATCGAGAAATTTAACGATCGGTTAATTGAAAAATCGAAACATCGAAAAACTGAAAAATCGATAAATTAAAAAAAAATTAGAAAACTGAAAATTTTTAAATTTCAAAAATTGAAAAAGTGAACTATAGAAGAACTGAAAACTCGAGAAATCGAAAACCTAAAATTGGAAAATCCAAAATTTAACAAATCGAGAAACTGAACAATCGGTTAATTGAAAAATCGAAACATGGAAAAATTGGAAAATCAAAAAATTAATAGAAAATCCAAAAAGTAAAAGTTGAGAAATCGAAAAATACGGAACTCGAAGAATCGTAAAACTGAAAAATCACAAAATTAAACCGAAGTCAAAAAGCAAAGTCGAAAATTCGCAAACCTAATAAAAAACCAAAAAATTCAAAAATCAAAAACCTAAAAAATTGAAAAACTGAAGAACTGAAAGATCGAAACTTTGGGGAAGTGAGAAAATAAAAATATGGATTAATTGAGAAATCCGAAAATTAAAAATTTAGAAACGTCAAAATTTGAAAAATTAAAAAATATTGAAGAACTGAAAAATAGAAAAGTCTAAAATTTAAAGCATTGAAAAATTAAAATATCCTAAAATTGAAAAATGGACAAATTCAAACATCAAAAAATCAAAAAAATAAAAATTCGAAAATCCAAAATTTAAAAATCAAAAAGTGAAAAATCAACGAATCGAGAAATCGAAACTGGCAGCTACTAGCCTTCTAAGTAAATAAAGGGTGGGTGGGTGGGGCCTATCCTTGTCAAGATAAGACTGATTTTCCCAAATGATATACCTTCTACCCCTCATTTTCTTAGAGGGTATGTCATTTGCCAATATCAGTCTTATCTTATCAGGTAGTAGCCCCGCCCACCGACCCTCTCTTTTCTTAGAGTGTATGTCATTGCCAAAATCAGTTTTATCTTATCAAGTACTGATGACTAACTTTTACAAAAAATGATCAAAATTTGGATACATTACGAGGTTACTTATATGCGCAAGGCAGGAGTTTTGAACATATTTAATGGATTTTTCTTTTATTGATTTTGTTTTTGTTTATAATTAATAAATGTTTGATTAATTTTTTTGGTTTATTTATTATTGAAAAATAATAGTTTGTTTTATTAATAATAATGCACAACGATTAATGACTACTGGTTGTTATGGTTATTGTCCTGAAAAAAATAAAAGATGAATTTCAGCCACCATCGTTACCAAGAAATCAGAAAGTATTTTTTTGGACTCCCGAAACTCCCATACATAAGGCACTGAAGAGTTAATCCGCCATTTTCAAGACACCCGGTATATCGGAAGTAATTGATGGTAATGGACAATGTGATGTCATATATACTAATTTCGAAAAGGTTCTTCAAGAAATGAAGAAAAGTGATCTAGATAAAGAAGATCAGCACATTTATGAGTTTTACGCAAAAGAAGAGAGAAAAATACAGTAAAAATAAACTTTATTATTATTACAGTTCATTTTCATAAAACTCCCTCAGTTCTGCAAATGTTTCAAAATTCATCCCTCTATAAATCTCGTCCTTCTGACTAGCAGCAACCACAAAATCATACTTATTCTCATACAGAACAAACTGAGCTTTTGCTGGATCTGCTAGTAACTCAGCAGCGATTTCTTCAGACAACGCTACCATCTGCAAATGGGTGCAAGCCTGCGTTAAAGCAAACTGCTTAAAAAAATCACAACTGGCAAAAAACTCATCTTCGCTGATTATCCCTCCAAGCCCAAACCTCCCCAGAAGACTGTCAAACTCGTGGTAGTAAAACTGAAGCGCTTCTTCGAAGTGTGTCTTCCGAAATTCGCGATTAGTAGTCAGATGAAGAAAAGCCACAACGTCTTGCGCCGGCGGCCCGTAGCGATGAGACTGAAAATCCACAATGACACAATTCACGGGTCTTCCATCTTCAAACTTGAACATCATGTTGTTGGTCCAAAGATCACCGTGAAGAATGGTATTTCGGAAAACCGTCGACGGTTTGACGAAGGCGTGCTGAAGACGATACCCTTTCAGAAGTTTCTCCCGGAGCAAGTCCTTCGACATCTTCATTTCTGAATCGTGAGTCAGGTCCAACAAAGCGTTGAAACCGTGGTGGTACGACGCTTCGGCTTTCTTCACCATTTCTTTGTCAGAGTAGAAAGTTTCTGCCAGTTCTTCAGAAAATGAGTCAATCAGTCGGAAGGATTTCTTCTCTTCTAGAATTATCGCGCTTGCGTGAAGTTTAACGATTGATTTGAGGGCGACTTTCACACTTTCAATGTCAAGGGAGGTCCGACAAGATATAGAAGTGTAGCTACTTTGGGCTAGATCTTCAAAGACGAAAATGTTTCCATCTGTGTGATAGCAAGTAGGGATTGCGTTGTCTAGAACGGTGATGGAATATTGTCGTAGGAGATCTTGAAACTGGGTGAAGAAAAATTTTTCTTTGAAGAAAACGTTAACGTCGAGGACGAAGTCCCGCTGGGATTTCACTGTCGGGATGGATTTTACGAAGAAATTGTGTTGTTCGAGGTCCGAATTTCGTTTGATGGTGATCTTCAGTGAAGAATGGTCACCCAAAAACCCCTTCACTTGTCCGAACGGAGTCTGACGAAAATCGATAACCGAAAAGTCTTCATTGTCGAGTTTCTTGGATATAATTTGGTGACACAATGGTGTGGAAAACAACGAATCTGTGCTTGACGTGTTCATTTCACTAGACTGAGGATTTTAAAGCTGGATTGACATAAATAAATTAACTGTGTTTATTTTAGATTTAGATTTAATTGTTGTGGTGGGAAAGTTTGTCACGATTTTACATAAATACTTAAACCAGCTGACTTTCATAGAACTCCCTGAGGTCAGTAATCGCTTCTAAGTTCCTTTGCATAAAAATTTCGTCCCTCTTGCACACATCCCTAATGAATTCGTACTTTCCTCGAACAACTCTTCAGCTATATCGTTTCTCAAAATAACCACCTGCAAATGCGTTAAAGTCTGCGTTAACGCAAACCTTTTAAAATAGTCACAACTTTCGAAAAACTCCTGCCTTGTCACCACCTCCCCCACATCGTACTCCCTAAAATGTCCCCTCAACTCCCCATAGTAAAACTCCAACACCTCCCCCAGCCGCTTCTCCCTAAACCCCCGATCCGTCACCAAATACAAAAAAGCGACCACATCCTGCGCCGGCGGTCCGTACCTATACGTCTGAAAATCCACAATACAACACTCCTCCACCCCCCTAAAAAGAAAATTCTTCGTCCACACATCCCCATGGCAAATCGTATTCCTAAACCGTTGCGACGGCGTCGCAAACACCGCCTGCAAATCGCAACCCTCCAGAGCCTTCTCCTTGAACGCGTCCTTCGATATCCCGAAATCGTCCTGATGCGTGATGTCGATCAAAGCTTTGATTCCTTGTTTACATGATTTCATCGCACGCTCGGTTGAGTCCGCACCCACGTAAAAGCTCTCTTTGAGCTCGACTCCGAAAGTTTCTGGCAATCGGAACGATTTCACCTCCTCGAGAATCAGCGCACTTGCGTGTAATTTGGCGAACGTGGCGAGGGCGGCTTTCACGTGGTTTAGGGATAGGGGAGCACGCGAGGGGAGGGTGCGGAAGCCGAGGGGTGACAAATCCTGGAAGAAGAAGGTGCCGTCGGTCACGTGGTAGCAAACCGGGAGGGCGTCGTCGAGGAGGGTGATCCCGTGAGTCTTCAACAACGGGAGGTATTTTTTGAAGAAGTTGGTTTCTTTGAAGATCCCGTTGATTTCGTGGAGGAAGTTTAGTTGCGACGGGACACGCGGCGGCGATTTTATGAAGAAAGAGAGGGTTTCGGGAACGGGGGTGCGTTTAATGGTGGCTTTGAGGGTGCAGTGCTCACCTAGGTAGCCGTTGATTTCGGAAAACGGGAGTTGTTCATAGGTTAGAACTTCGAAGTTGGGGGTTTTGAGTCTGGAACTTATGGCTTTGTAGCAGTCGCTTAGAGGGACTAAGGGGCCTTCAAATTTTTTCATTTCGTGCTAATGGCGCGACTAAATTTATTATTGTTTTGTTCTATTGTTCGACTATCTGAAAAACGTGTTGTTGTAATAACGCGGACTCGTAAACTTTAATACCTCACGACTTTTGAATGCACGCCACCACTCTACTTAATAAAACAGCATTGTCCTAACGCATAAATTGGTTTCAATTTAAAGCAAGATTATTCTATAAATTGTGTCTAAGTGGACGATTAACCTCAATATAAATCGAATGCATTTTTCTAATTTACATTTTTGTCGAGTTTGAGCAAAATGACTGAGTTGTCGGTTGCAGAGTGTGAAAATATTGTCAAAAACTGTGTGAAAAGTCAAGTTCGGACACTTACGTCCGAAATTGTACCACTACCGAACGATAATTTCATCCTCAAAGTCACCATTCATGATGGTGTCAACGAAAGAACGCTTAGTTTTTTCGCAAAGACAAGTTTGAAGAAACCGAAAATTTATCAAATTTTGTTCGACGATTTCAAAAACGCGATTCCGAGATTTAACCCTAAAATCACCCCCGAGTTGTACTATGGAAAGGCAAATTTGTTGTTTTTTGAGGATTTGTCGTGGCAAGGATTCCAAGTTTGTGCGAAAGAAGATCTGGATTTGGACCACGTTAAAGTCGTGTTGAAAGTTTTGGCCAAGTTCCACTCAGGAAATTTGGCCTATGAAGAAATTAAAACGAAAGAAACAGGAGAACGATTTACCTTGGACCAAAAATACAAAGTTGATGGTTTTAGAATAAATCTGAAGACAACTGAAGTCGTGGAGTTGCTTTCCACTTTGACAAATCAAGACGACTTAGTCGAACTAGTGGAAGATCTAGAAGGGCGTCAGAACTCCCAAAAATCCAGAAGAACTTTATGTCATGGTAATTTAATGGTGCGAAATATTATGTTCAAGTACGACCAAGACGCCCCAATTGACTGCAAACTACTCAATTTCAAAGCAACCCAGTACGTACCACCCATTTTCGATTTTCTTCAACTGTTGTTCTTCGCTACGAGTGAAGATTTTCGTCAACACCACTTAGAAGACTTGTTATTCTATTACCATAGATGTCTTTGCGAAGACCTGAAACAGTACCTTCTAGAACCTGAATCGTACGAACAACTGCGAAAAGAAGCTCACTACTTTTTACCCATAATCAAACTAGAAAAGGCTCTTCGTTTCAAAAACCACCAATTTTCAGCAGCACTTCACGAAACCCTGACTTGCCCAATTCTATCACGTGAAGATTGTTACACTATAGTCACTAACAAACTAAAATCGCCGAATTTCAAACTAATTTCTTTTGTAGTTACCCCTCTGGACAAAGCCAACGGTTATCTAGGCACCTACCACAAACTAACCATCAAGATCTTCCACCAAACCGAACAAACCATCAACTGTTTCGTGAAATCAATCCCCAAAAATGACGCTTCTAGAAATATAGTGAACGAAGCTAATTGTTTTCTCAAAGAAATCTTCATCTACCAAACTCTAGCCCCACAGATGCGAAAAATTGACACCTTCAACCAGTGTCTAGCTCCTTGTTATTTCTACAGATCGGAAGAACTGGCAGTTTTTGAAGATTTCGCCACACTTAACTATCAAACCCTTCCAGCGCAAGTACCGTATGATCTACCACTTCTAGCACTAACCGTGAAGAAAGTGGCACAATTCCACGCCTCCACCATACTTTTTGAAGAAATGAAGTCCAAAGAGTTAGACCGGAAGTACCGATTGGGGGATGAATACCAGAAGTACCTACAAGAGATTTATTTTTCGCTGGAGCAACACTCAGGGGCTGTTCTTATGCAAGTCGGCGTTCGCTCAATCATCGACGTTATTAATTTATTTCCAGAGCTCAAGACGGAACAGAATCAGAAGAATTTCAACAGATGGTGGCCAAAATTGCAGACGCTTTTTTTCGAGGTGACGCTACCTTCTAGGGTTTACCGAAACGTGGTCTCACATGGTGATTTGTGGACCAACAACATCATGGTCAAGCTTGATGGTACCCAACCCATTGACTGCGTTTTCGTCGATTTTCAATGTACGCGATACTGTCCACCAGCCCATGATTTCCTGTCAGTGATTTATTTGACCACGGATCGCACGACTCGACTCACCCATGAAGACGAATTGAAGACTTTCTACTACCAAGAGTTTGCCAAAATTTTGGGTGATTATGGATACAGTGCTGACGATATTTACCCCCATGACGAATTTCTGCAAAGCGTGGAATACACAAGACCCCAGATGGTACTCCAGACCATTATATACCGAATGTTCACTATGTGCACGCCTGACGAAATTTCGTCGTTCTTGGTCGACGACGAAACCGCCAAATTCGTCTTCTTCAAAGACCGCAAAGAATACTTGACGAAAATTTGCGAAAAGTCGCCTACAGTGAAAACGTATCTGCGGGAAGGTCTCCTAGATTTGTACTCTCTCTGTGACGGATTTATCGATGTTTGAAAATATTATTGTATGACTTATTAAATTTGTTTGAAAATCGACGAATTGTTCTATTGTTTAATAGCGCAAACTCGTAAAAATTATTACCTCGCATTGCATGTCGCGACTCCAATTGCTTTCTTTTTCAACCGCGATAATTTTAGTTCGAATTGTTCCTAATTGGTTTAAGTGACCTTAGTCGGGCTGTATAAAACGAACGATTTTCGAGTTTCTTCGAGTTGTAACGAAATGACTGAGTTGTCTGTGGCAGAGTGTGAAAATATTGTCAAAAACTGTGTGAAAAGTGAGGTTCGAACACTCACTTCCGAAATTGTACCACTATCGGACGACAATTTCATCCTCAAAGTCACCATTCATGATGGTGTCAACGAAAGAACGCTTAATTTTTTCGCAAAGACAAGTTTGAAGAAGCCGAAAATTTATCAAATTTTGTTCGACGATTTCAAAAACGCGATTCCGAGATTTAACCCTAAAATCACCCCCGAGTTGTACTATGGAAAGGGAAATTTGTTGTTTTTTGAAGATTTGTCGTGGCAAGGATTCCAAGTTTGTGCGAAAGAAGATCTGGATTTGGACCACGTTAAAGTCGTGTTAGAAGTTTTGGCCAAGTTCCACTCGGGAAGTTTGGCCTATGAAGAAATTAAAACGAAAGAAACAGAAGAGCGATTTACCTTGGACAAAAAATACAAAGTAGATAATTTTAGAATCAATTTGAAGAAAAGTGAAGTCTTGGACTTGCTTTCCACTTTGACAAATCAAGACGACTTAGTTGAACTAGTGAAAGATCTAGAAGAACGTCAGAACTCCCAAAAACCCAGAAGAACTTTATGCCATGGTAATTTAATCGTGCGAAATATTATGTTCAAGTACGACCAAGACGCCCCAATTAACTGCAAACTACTCAATTTCAAAGAAAACCAGTACGTACCACCCATTTTTGATTGTCTTCAACTGTTGTTCTTCGCCACGAGTGAAGATTTTCGTCAACACCACTTAGACGACGTGTTGTTCTACTACCATAGATGTCTGTGCCAAGAACTGAAACAGTATCTTCTAGAAGTTGAATCGTACGAACAGCTGCGAAAAGAAGCTCACTACTTTTTACCCATAATCAAACTAGAAAAGGCTCTTCGTTTCAAAAATCACGAATCTTCAGCAGCACTTCACGAAGCCCTGACTTGCCCAATTCTATCACGTGAAGATTGTTACACTATAGTTACGAACAAAATAAAGTCGCCGAATTTCAAACTAATTTCTTTTGTAGTTAGCCCTTTGGACAAAGTCAACGGTTATTTAGGCACCTACTATAAACTAACCATCAAAATTGTCCACAAATCCGAAGACAATATCAACTGCTTTGTCAAAACAATCCCCAAAAACACCTCTGCTAGAAGCGTTATAGACGAAACCGGGTGTTTCTTCAAGGAACTCTTCATCTACGAAACTCTAGTGCCACAGATGCAAAAACTTGGAATCAATAATATCAATACATGTCTATCTTCCTTCTATTTCCAAAGAAACGAAGATGTGATAGTTTTCGACGACTTGACAGTGAAAAATTATAGAATGCTACCACAACACCCCTTTGACTTCCACCTTCTTTCACTCACTGTCAAAAAACTAGCACAATTTCACGCTTCCACCGTAATTTTTGAAGAAGAAATGTCCAAACGAAGAAACCGCAAATATCGTCTAAACGAAGAATACGACAAACACGTCAGAGAGATTTTCTTCTCGCGCGAAAAACAATCAGGCGCTTTGATTATGCAAGTAGGTGTTCGATCAGTATTCCACGTTGTCAATCTATTTCCAGAACTCAAAACTGAAGAAAATCAAACCAGTTTGAAGAAAGTGTGGCCAGAATTGGAGAGGTTGTTTTTTGACGTGATTAAGCCCTCGGAACGTTTCAGAAATGTGCTTTGTCATGGCGACTTATGGACCAATAACATCATGGTGAAGTTTGACGGTGCAGAACCCATTGATTGTGTCTTCGTTGATTTTCAAAATATTAGATATTGTTCGCCTGGTCACGATTTTCTCTCTGTCATGTATTTGACAACTAATAGAACGACTAGAATGAAGCATGAGGAAGACATGGCACATCTGTACTACCAAGAGTTTGCTAAAGTGTTGGGTGTGTATGGTTACGACGCTACAACAATCTACTCGTTTGAAGAATTTCTGGACAATGTAGAATACATGAGGCCCCAAATGGTAGTGCAAGCTATACTATACATGATGTTCGCGTCCAGTTCTGACGACATTTCTTCACTTCTGGACAACGACGAAACTTCCAAGTATATCTTTTTCCAAGACCGAAAGGAGTACTTGGAGAAAATTTGCCAAAAATCTTCCATCGTCAAAAATAATCTGCGGGAGTGTGTCTTAGAATTATACTATTTTTGCAGTTGTTTTAAAACTAATAAATAAATCACCTACTTTTCCATCTTGTTTCATTTTGACAGAACAATTGTGGTTGTTTATCTAATCATTTATTTACCCACGCTCAAGTTTAATTTAGGTCGAGAATAAGTCACTTCAGTCCGAATTTAAAAGTGCTGTTGGTTACAATGGTTCAGTCTTTAACCACCCAAGACTGTAAGTTGCTTCTTCAAAAACATTTAAACTCCGAAAAGTGTGAATCTCTGACACTTGAACATGTCTTGGCCGCTTTGAAGGTTTTGGCGAGTTTTCACGCCGTTGGTCTCACTTTCGACGAAACAAAGTCTACTTCGGAAGCTTTCAAGTGCACGAATTTTGATATCAGAGACCCTAAAATTGTGGCTTTAATTTCATCTGTGGTGGAAAACGAAGATGAAATATCTCGAGTGATCGAAGACCTGGAGGAACGGCAACTTCATTCAAAGTTGGTAAAAACTTTCTGTCACGGGAATTTAGCTCCCAAAAATTTAATATTTAAAGATCGATTTGAGTGTAAATTGATAAACATAGAATCAAATTTTCGCGCGTCACCCACTTATGATGTTCTTCAGCTGATTTTCTTGAACACAACGGCGGAGTTGCGCCAGCACCATTGGAAGACTTTGTTGGATCACTACTATGATTGTTTAAAGCAAGAAATTCAACACACGATTTTTCCAGTCGAAGATTTCCATCTAAGTGTTCATCATATTTTACCTATAGCAAAATTAGAAGCTGCTCTATTCCACCAAAACGAAACAGCGCTGGAAGAATTGAAAGAAATCCTAAACTGTCCACTCTTGTCGAAAGAAGATTGTTATGTCATCGTCAAAAATAAGCTCGCCAAGACAAACTACAAGTTTTTGTCCTATAAAGTGACACCGCTGGGTGATGTTAGTGGATTTTTGGGTCAATACCATCGACTAGAGATCAAAATTCGTCTTCAGTCGGACGAAACGACTATCAATTGCTTCATTAAATCAGTCCCAAGACTCGGTACTCCTATGGATATCGCCAAAGATCTTAACAGTTTTTCAAGAGAATTCTTCATCTATGAAACAATAGTCGCACAAATGCTAAACCACGAAATCAACATCATCAATGACTGTATACCACCTTGCTACTTTCACAGACCCAAAGAATTCATGCTCTTTGAAGATATGGCTCTTCTCGGCTACAAAAATTTAGACGCTATGGAACCTCTAAATTTCAACATGCTTACTTTGTTGGTCAAAACGTTGGCCAAATTTCACGCTTGTTCTCTCCTTCTTGAAGAAAAAGTCTCCCAAAAGGAAGGAAAACCCTACTCTTTGTACAACTCCTACAAAGAATATTTCACCGAACCCCTGTTCTTCGAGGACGAGAAACACAGAGGTGCCAGACAGTCAGGAACTGGCGTCAAAGCAGTCCTCACCGCCGTCAAACTCTTAACAGACATCCAAACCCCAACAAACCAACGCAACTTTGACGCATTTTGGCCAAAATTCAGAGAGTTGTACTACACAGTGCCCAGACCCTCGGACCGTTTTCGGAACGTGTTGTGCCATGGAGATCTGTGGACCAGCAACATGATGGTCAAATACGAAGACGGCGAAGCTGCGAAATGTGTCTTGTTTGATTTCCAAATAGTCAGATATTGTCCCCCCGTTTATGACCTGCTTTCGGTGCTTTATTTAACCACACATCGTTCCACAAGACTGAAGTATGAAGATGAACTCGTTCGAACTTACTACGATGAATTGGGGCGGATTCTGGACTCGTATGGGGTCGATGTTGGGAATTTTTATTCGTATGGGGATTTTCTGGAGTGTCTTAATTATATCAGGCCTCATATGTTGATGCATGCGGCGTACGAGTGTACTCTGACCATGTGCACACCCGAAGAAATTTCGTCTTTTCTGAGCGATGAAGAAACATGCAACCGAGTCTTTTTTGAAGATCGTACCGAGTTTATGACGATCATGTGTGAAAAATCCGACTTGTATAGAAACCGACTGAAGGAATGTATCTTGGATATTTATGACTATTGTGACTCCATGTGCGGTAAATAAATCTGATTTATAGTGTTTGTATGACTTTATTTAATATTAATAATTATAAAATTTGTTTGAGCCGCAACTTTTTTGACTTGAATTTTTTACTTCCCCAACGTAAGCGTCCCGGATTTTCATTAGACATAATCTCCGAAAGTACTGGACCGATACATTTTTAATCAAAATATATTTACTTATCCCCTCCAAAAAATTGATGACGTCAGCTCAAAAATTTGTTGAATAAATCCTATCTAATTTGTACAAAGTCTGTACTTGTGATTTATCATTCTATTAATATTTTTTGGATATACAGGGTGACTCAATAAAATTAATGAATGAGTGATTTTTTTACTGATTTAATCAGGAACTACAAAACCCAATGCTTTGAACTCTTCGAGATGTTGTATGACCATCATAAATTTTTGATCAAATTGCTCACCCCCCCCCCCCCCATAAAATGATTACGAAGTCTAAACAACTAAACACTAGAGAAGATCTTCAAAATTCCTGCCTTGTTCATGTAAGTAAGCTCGTAATGTTTCCAAATTTTGATCGTTTTTTTGTAAAAGTTAGTCATCAGTACTTGTTAAGATAAAACTGACGTTGGCAAGAGAGGGTGGGTGGGCGGGGCTAGTACCTACTAAGATAAGACTGATTTGGTAAACCACTTACCCTTTAAGAAAAGACAGGGTGGGTGGGCGGGGCTAGCACCTGCTACGATAAGGCAGATTTTGGCAAAGGACATATCCTCTAAGAAACGAGAGGGTGGGTGGGAGGGGCTAGTGCCTGCTAAGATAAAAATCATTTTGGCAAATGACATACCCTCTAAGAAACGGGTGGGTATGTTATTTGGCAATATCAGTTTTTTTAGATTTGCTTATACAGGGCGTCTCAAAAAAATTAATGAATCAATCAATTTATTTTATTGAATAAATCAAGAATTGCAAAAATTAATACTTTGAAATCTTGTAGATGTTTTAAAGTTATTGTAAGCATGTAACCAAATATATCTCATTTGCCAAAATCAGTCTTATCTTAGCAGGTACTCGCCCCGCCCACCCACCCTCTCTTTTCTCAGATGATATGTCATTTGCCAAAATTAGTCTTATCTTAGCAAGGAGTAACCCCGCCCACCCACCCTCTATTTTCTCAAAGGACTATGGCATTTGCCAAAGTCAGTCTTATCTTAGCAAATACTAGCATTTTGGCAAATGACATGCGATTTAAGAAAATAGAAGGCTTAGATAGTACCTGCTAAGATAAGATTTACTTTGGCAAATGACATATTCTCTAAGATAAGAGAGGGTGGGTGGGCGGGGCTAGTATCTGCTAAGATAAGACTGATTTTGCCAAACGACATACGCTCTAAGAAAATGAAGCGTAGAAGGTATATTATTTGGCAAGATCAGTCTTATCTTTCGCAAGTATGGGTCTCACCCACCCAACCCTTACTTCAAGTATTGGCCCCACCCACCCACCCCTTATTTTCTTGAAGGGTATGTTATTTGGCAATATCAGTTTTTTTAGATTTACTTATACATATCTCATTTGCCAAAATCAGTCTTATCTTAGCAGGTACTCGCCCCGCCCACCCACCCTCTCTTTTCTCAGAGGATATGTCATTTGCCAAAATTAGTCTTATCTTAGCAGGAACTAGCATTTTGGCAAATGACATGCAATTTAAGAAAATAGAAGGCTTAGATAGTACCTGCTAAGATAAAATTTACTTTGGCAAATGACATATCCTCTAAGATAAGAGAGGGTGGGTGGGCGGGGCTAGTATCTGCTATGATAAGACTGATTTTGCCAAGCGACATACGCTCTAAGAAAATGAAGAGTAGAAGGTATACCATTTGGCAAAATCAGTCTTATCTCGGCAAGTATGGGCCCCACCCACCCACCCCTTATTTCAAGTATTGGCCCCAGCCACCCACCCCTTGTTTTCGTGAAGGGTATGTTATTTGGCAATATTAGTTTTTTTAGATTTACTTATACAAGGCGACTCAAAAAAATTAATGAATTAATCAATTTATTTTATTGAATTAATCAAGAATTGCAAAAATTAATACTTTGAAATCTTGTAGATGTTTTAAAGTTATTGTAAGCATGTAACCAAATATATCTCATTTGCCAAAATCAGTCTTATCTTAACAGGTACTCGTCCGGCCCACCCATCCTTTCTTTTCTCAGAAGATATATCATTTGCCAAAATTAGTGTTATCTTAGCAAGGAGTAGCCCCGCCCACCCACCCCCTATTTTCTCAGAGGACTATGGCATTTGCCAAAATCAGTCTATCTTAGCAAATACTAGCATTTTGGCAAATGACATGCGATTTAAGAAAATAGAAGGCTTAGCTAGTACCTGCTAAGATAAGATTTACTTTGGCAGACGACAAACCTTCTAAGAAAAGAGAGGGTGGGTGGGCGGGGCTAGTATCTGCTAAGAAAAGACTGATTTTGGCAAATGATCCGCTCTCTAAGAAAATGAAGAGTAGAAGGTATATCATTTATCAAAATCAGTCTTATCTTGAAAAGTATTGGCCCCACTCGCCCACCCCTTATTTTAAGTATTGGCCCCACCCACCCACCCCTTATTTTCTTGGAGGGTATGTTATTTGGCAACATCAGTTTTTTTAGCATTATTTATACAAGGCGACTCAAAAAAATTAATGAATTAATCAATTTATTTTATTGAATTAATCAAGAATTGCAAACATTAATACTTCGAAATCTTGTAGATGTTTTAAAGTTATTGTAAGCATGTAACCAAATATATCTCATTTGCCAAAATCAGTCTTATCATAGCAGGTACTCGGCCCGCCCACCCACCCTCTCTTTTCTCAGAGGATATCTCATTTGCCAAAATCAGTCTTATCATAGCAGGTACTCGCCCCGCCCACCCACCCTCTCTTTTCTCAGAGGATATGTCATTTACCAAAATTAGTCTTATCTTAGCAAATACTAGCATTTTGGCAAATGACATGCGATTTAAGAAAATAGAAGGCTTAGATAGTATCTGCTAAGATAAGATTTACTTTGGCAAATGACATATCCTCTAAGATAAGAGAGGGTGGGTGGGCGGGGCCAGTATCTGCTAAGATAAGACTGATTTTACCAAACGACATACGCTCTAAGAAAATGAAGAGTAGAAGGTATATCATTTGGTAAGATCAGTCTTATCTCGGCAAGTTTTGGACCCACCCACCCACCCATTATTTCAAATATTGGCCCCACCCACCCACCCCTAATTTTCTTGGAGGGTATGTTATTTGGCAATATCAGTTTTTTTTAGATTTACTTATACAGGGTGACTCAAAAAAATTAATGAATCCATTTATTTTATTGAATAAATCAAGAATTGCAAAAATTAATAATTTGAAATCTTGTAAATGTCTTAAGGTTATTGTAAGCATGTAACCAAATATATCTCATTTGCCAAATCAGTCTCATCTTAGCAAATACTAGCATTTGGCAAATGACACACCTTTTAAGAAACTAGAGGGCGGGTAAACGGATCTAGTACTTGCTAAGATAAGATTTACTTTGGCACGAAAAGAGAGGGTGGGTGGGCGGGGCTAGCACCTTTTTACCTTTACCCAATATTTTTGAAATTTGCTTATACAGGGTGAGTCAAAAAAATTAATGAATCAGTCAATTTATTTAAGTTTCCTCCTCTTTTGTTTCATTATACACGACTCCATAAACTAAGCGTCATGGGTGTAAGACTTGCTTTCTCGGTGGAAGAACGAATCCTACAGTATTGCATTTTTTTCCCATGAGAACAAAAAAGGTACCCGATTTTCTCCAGAATATGAGAATACAATAGATACTGTTATTATTTATCACGTTGTACTTATCCGTGTGCTTTACAACAATTCATAGTTCAAAAAAATAAAATTGTGCAACATTTTGCAAATTAACTTTGAAACTGCAAAACCGAATGCTCTGAATCTTGCAATCGTCGCAAATTTTATAATTTTAAGTAACTTTCGACCATTTTTTAGATTTAAATTGATTAGCCAAATTTTGGTTAGCTGATCTTCCTACATACTGAGTTTGACCACAATCGGAACAGTAGTTTCGGAGATTATACCTATCTATACTTATATAATAAAGCTGAAGCTGTTGTTTATTTGAACACGCTAATCTCAGAAACTACTGGTTCAAATTCAAAAAATCTTTTTGTGTTGGATAGTCCATGTATCATATCTACATATAGGCTATATAAAATCGCGCTACGATCATTAGGAGCGAAGTAGCAATGAAAAATTCGGAAAAACGGGAAAATTATTCCTCCTTTGACAGCTTCCGTTGCTTACGCTGCTTAAACGGTTAAAGTTACGTAAAAATCATGTATGACGAAATTGTTCCCCTCTAAAAGTTCTAAAGAAAAGTCCGCGACAGCATATGTCTATCTTTTAAGGTCGAGTCAGTATAACCTTTTTTATGGTAATGAAATTTGTTCTAAAATAATAATGCATTATGTATAAAATTCTCGCGTCACACTGTTTATAACCGAACTTCTCCGAAATGGGTAGACCGATTTGTATGAAATTTTTTATGTCTATTCGGTAGGTCTGACAATAGGCTGTAAACTATTTTTTAAACCCCAAAGTGATAAGGGTGGCCTACCCTAAAAAATTTTTGTCTATTTTTTTGACAAATTTTTTTATTTTTATTTTTTTAAGATTTGGCATTAAATACACATAACCCTAAATTTTCATCTTTCTACCACCAACCCCCATTTATTAATCACCTATAAAATAAAAATCAATTGCTGTTCCTATTAGTCCCGCTAAGACTCAAAAACGGCTTGACCGATTTGAAACATTTCTTATACTACGGGGATGCTTTATAAATAAAAAAAATAAGGATAACTTAAAAGAACAGTAAAAAATTAAAAAATTCTAAAAATTATGTATGGGAATCGCCACTTCGAATTACTTTCAATAGTTTCTGACGGACCTGTCGTCTAACTGACGTGTCATACAAAACTAATTCTTCCGTGCGATTGTGAAAAGTATATAGCATTTGAAATCGTTTTTTGTTTTTTGTTTTCGTAAAAAAAAAACGTCGTTTATTTTAAGAAAAGTCTTGGTTAAAGTGAATTTAATTACACATTGCGAAAGTTTCTTATTCATTTTGATCTGCCATTCTATTTACCTATATTCACTTTGTTGGTTTCGACAAAACCTCAAACTTTACCGTTATTCGAGGATTTAATTTGAAGTTTTCAATATTTTAAAATTCTCAAGACAAAATTTACAGATTTGATTGACTGTGAAAATAATTCTGTGTCGTTTTATGAAGTTCATTAAAATGCCGAGAAGACGACAACCTCACATAGGTCCACGAATCAAATGTGCGACGAACTACCTCAGGTGCAAACCGCATTGATTTATTTCATGGGTAATTCGGATATGGAAGTTGATCAGCGTTGTGCTCATAATCAACATAATAGTCAAACATTGAAGCGAGACATTGGGTGGTATGAATAAAACTGAGTAGATACTCATATTCGAAGTACGAAGTACCTACTTCATTATTACTCTTATATACCTGAGCATCTACTCTATGTACTGAGTACCTATTGGGAAACATTGTATCTCCCCGGACACAAACTGAACATCTACGCGTTTTGTGAGCATTTAATCTAGAAATGAGCATCGGCGTGGCAAATAACTGACCTGTCTGTAAAGTAGCTTAGAAAACCAGTAGGATCGTTGTAAAGAGTGAATTTTAACTAAACATAGTGACTTTCATGAATGTGGAACGTCGTCAAAAGGTGCATTCAGTTTGAAAAACACATTAGGAGCAGGAATATCGAATACTTTTATGTAATTAACTTTTATTTATGTATAAATTGTGCAGTGCGTTTTTTCTAACACTGGCCATAGAGATTCCCATCTCAAGGTGTCTACCTCATACTAACTTATATTTTGGTGACTCGAATTTTGCCTTGATGGTTGAACACTGTTGTCCTTTTTTGTTGTATCGAGATACTACTTGAGCATCAACTGTTACTTACTGAAGTATTAGTATCATCTAGAAAAACTAGAAATATTTTGATTTGATATTCGAGTAGATACTTCGTATTTCGAGTATGAGCATCTACTGAGTTTTATTTATATCAACCATTGTCAAAAAATTGATCGAACGTTGTTTCGACAGAACTTCCTTCGCACCAAAAGTATAATAAAACATATTCAGCATTTTCGAGTTGAGTCTTTTCTTCACACAATTTTGTGATGACCTAATCAACATTTACTATCAACACGTAGGTATACCACCTTGGATTGGTGCAGTGTAATACTAAAAATAACTGTACTGTATTCCCAAAATTATCTGCGAAAATCGAGTGAGCCATTCCATCAATTTTTTGGGGGGAACAAATAAATATTCTTAACAATTTACCATGCTTACAATAACTTTAAAACGTCTGCAAGATCTCAAAGTATTCATTTCTGCAACTCTTGAGTTTTTCACTAAAATAAATTGACTGATCCATACATTTTTTTGAGTCACTGTAAAAGCAAATCTAAAAAATATGAATGCAGTGATAAATTACGAAAATATACTGATGATATTTTCCACATTTTAGATAGGATTTATTCGGCAAAATCTTGAGATGACGTCTTCAAGTTTTTGGGCTTGATAAACAGATATATTTTGATTGAAAACCTACCATGTCAAACAGTAACTTCAAAATGTCTGCAATATTTCAAAATTCAGTTTTGCAATTCTTGATTCAATCAATAAAATAAATTGACTCAGTGATTAATTTTTTTGAGACACCCCCTATAAGCGAAACTAAAAAATATGAATGGAATGATAAATCACAAGTATAGTCTCATCCTATTTTGGACATTTTGGATAGGATTCATTTCACAAAATTTTGGGCTGACGTCATCAATTTTTTGGAGGGGATAAGTAAATATATTTTGCATAAAAATTTATTATGCTTATCATATGTTTAAAATATCTGCAAGATTTCAAAGCATTCGATTTTGCAGATTCAAAATTAAATCGTAGGTGAAACGGAGTTCACGGGGTCAGCTAGTGTCTAATAAAAATTGATACAGGTGACAAACAGGCAGACAGGCAGACGGAAACGGGAGATCACATTTTTCGTACTCTAGAGGTCATGAAAGGTCGAGAAAACATGAAAGTCAATAACATCTATGAAAACTCGACTGAGGAGAACCGATGTAGCAGGAAACGTGTTCGCGACTGCAGGAATTCGCAGACACAGACAGTGACCTGGGATGACGCAACACTTTGGTGACTCCGAAGCTTGCGTACTGTGTAAGGTTAGTGGAATGTGTCATTTTCAGGTTATCTTTGCCTTCTCACAATTCAAATTTTTCACACAACAATTAGCGTGTTTATAACCTAACAACTTGAAACTGGGGTGCCAGCTGGTGGCAGCAACCCTAGAATAATTGTTATTGTTATCATGACCCTCGTTAACTCCAATCAGGTAATTATCACATCACAAACTCACACCTTTTTGTTATTGGTTTATTTACATTTTCAGTTTCAGTGACAACTGTTAACACCAAATTTTACTGTCAAAAATGAACAACTGCGCACTAACTCGCGACGACTGCGACCTCATCGCCAAAAAACATTTTCACAGCGATGACGTAATTACAACGAACTTCGCACTACGACCACTAGAAGACGAAAACTTCGAACTTAACATCACCATCTACCACGGAAAAACGGTCACAACTATCCCATTTTTTGTGAAAACGGGTCCAAACGAAGCGCCAACCTTGGATACAAATTTTTCCCCGAAACTATACCTCAAAAAGCACAACTTAGCCGTCTATGAAGACCTACGGCAAGATTTTGAAACCCGTGGACGACTACTAAACACCGAAGAGCTACAAATCGTTCTAAAAACATTGGCGGCGTTCCATGCATCAAACTTCGTCTCTGAGCTAGATCACTCGAATTTTGATCTAGAGTCACCCACGGTCACAAGTTTGTTGTCGTCGGTGCTAGAAAATGACGACCAGGTGTCCAAAACTATCCAAAATCTGCGCCAAAAACAACTCGAGTCGAAATTCAGACGAACTCTGTGTCACGGCAACTTGACTAATCGAAACTTGATGTTCAAAAACGACAAAGGGGCTCCGACTGAGTGTAGATTGTTGAACTTCAAAGCTAATTTCTGCGTACCTCCAATCTACGACGTTCTTCAGTTGATTTTCTTCAATACGAGTGAAGATTTGAGACGGTGTCACTTCCAGGCTTTGCTCAATTGTTACTATGAGTGTTTGAAAGAAGAAACGACGAAGGGTGACTTGGACGTCACTGTCGACGATTTTCGATTAAGTGCCCATTATTATCTACCTGTGGTTAAATTACAAGCTGCACTTCACCACCAAAACGAGACAAGTGTACAAGAATTGAAAGAAAGTCTAGCTTGTCCACTAGTTTCCAGAGAAGATTGTTACGTGATTGTCAAAAATAAAACCGGAACTACGAACTACAAGTTACTGTCTTATAACGTGACACCGCTGAGTGATGTTAGTGGATTTTTGGGTCAATACTATAGACTAGAGATCAAAATTCGTCTTCAATCCGAAGACACAACCATTAATTGCTTCATTAAAGCGTTACCAAAAACAGCTACCCCTTTAAGCATTGTCAACGATCTTAACAGCTTCTCAAGAGAAATTTTCATGTATGAAACTGTCGTCACACAAATGAAGAACCACAAGATTAACATTATTGACGAATGTCTACCACCGTGTTACTTTGTCAGACCGAAAGAGTTCATGATCTTTGAAGATATGGCTTTCCTTGGATATAAAAATCTAGATGTTATGGACCCTCTAGATATCACCATGCTAACTTTGTTGATGAAAACGCTAGCTAAATTCCACGCTTGTTCTCTCACTCTTGAGGAAAAAGCAAAACCTTACTCTTTGTACAACTCCCACAAGGAATATTTCACCGAGCCTTTGTTTTTCGAAGATGACAAACACAAAGGAGCCAAACTGACAACAGTCGGAGTCAAAGCAGTTTTAACCGCTGTCAATTTGTTAAAAGAAATCCAAACAGAAACGAACCAACGCAACTTTTATGAATTTTGGCCAAAATTCAAAGAGTTGTACTACGAATTGCCCAAACCGTCTGCCCGTTTTCAGAACGTGTTGTGTCATGCAGATCTGTGGACTAGTAATTTCATGGTAAAATATGACAACGATAAAGCTGTCAATTGTGTCTTCTTTGATTTCCAAATCGCCAGATATTGTCCTCCTGCTTATGATCTACTTTCGATGCTTCATTTAACGACAGATCGCTCCACAAGACTGAAGTATGAAAATCAACTCATTAAAGTCTACTATGACGAATTGGATCGAATTTTGAACTCGTATGAAGTCAACATTGGTCACTTTTATTCGTTTGACGATTTCGTGGAGTGCTTTAATTCGCTTAGACCTCACATGCTGATGCATGCAGCATACGAATGCACTATGCTCACGTGCACACCCGAAGAAATTTCTTCCTTTCTGAGCGATGAAGAAGCATGCAGCCAAGTCTTTTTTGAAGATCGTACCGAGTTTATGACGATCATGTGTCAAAAATCTGACTTGTATAGAAACAGACTGAAGGAATGTATCTTGGATATTTATGATTATTGTGACTCCATGTGTGGTAAATAAATCTGATTTATATTTATAGGTTTGTATCAATTTATTTAATAATTAAAAAATTTGTTTGTGATTTTTTGATTTGAATTTTTCAATTTTTCTTTTACTTCGCCAACATAAGCGTCCCGGATTTTCATTAGACATAATCTTCGAAGGTACTGGAGCGATACATTTTTAATCAAAATATATTTACTTATCCCCTCCAAAAAATTGATGACGTCAGCTGAATAAATCCTATCTAATTTGTACAAAATATGATGAGTCTGTACTTGTGATTTATCATTCAATATTTTTGTATATACAGGGTGACTCAAAAAAATTAATGAATGCGTGATTTTTTTACAAATCTTCGAGATGTTGTAAAGTTATCATAAACATGATACATTTTTGATCAAAATGTATTTGCTTACCCCCCCCCCCCCTCAAATGATTACGAAATCTCAAAATTTTGCCCTTCCGAATTCTTTATGATGTACATTACGAAAAAAATGTAATTTTATAAAAGTATTTTTTTTTTTTTTGGATAATAACCGTAACAATCAGTAGTCATTAATCGCTGTGCGTTGTTATCAATAAATCAAACCGTTATTTTTCATTAATAAATAAACCAAAAAAAAAACATTTAATACAAATAAATTACAAACAAAAACAAAACCAACAAAAGAAAAATCCATTAAAGCATAACCAACTAAACACTAGAGAAGATGTTCAAAATTCCTGCCTTGTGTATATAAGTAAGCTCGTAATGTTTCCAAATTTTGATTCTTTTTTGTAAAAGTTAGTCATTAGTACTTGCTAAGAACGACTGATTTTGGCAGCTCACATACCCTCTAAGAAAAGAGAGGGTGGGTGGGTGGGGCTAGTACCTGCTAAGATAAAGGTGATTTTGGCTAATGAGATACCTCTAAGAGAAGAGAGGGTGGATGGGCGGGGCTAATATTTGCTTAGATAAGACGGATTTTGGCAAATGAGATCCCTTCAAGAAAAGAGAGGGCGACCTTACTGAGGTTGTGCTCTTCTATGTTTGCCACCTGTGTCATTATCATTTCCCACCAAGGATGTTGCACATATGGGCAGCGCCTCCCGTTTGCACTTTAATTTTTTTTATACAACATTATTATAATAAATTAATTATGATATTTCTATATGGTAAATAAATAAATCAATGCATATCATTACTTGGTATTAGTACCCGTAATGATAGAAGTATATTTTATAATAAACAATAATCGACAATACATGGATATTTAGTTAAATTAATCCAATCATCATCATTAATCGTCATTTTGTCAAAAAATACAAATGCAACATATTTTTGGTTTTTATTATTTTTTAAGAGAAAATTAATGACTGCGCCTCGGGTACGTGTTTAATTTATATAAATTGACAACGTAGAGTTAAAACTCCAAGAGTACCTCTCTGGATTGATGCACTCTTTTTTTTAAAGAATGTGAAACCTTCTCTGGGGTCCCAACTGTTTTTTCTTTTAAGTAAAACCTTCTCGGGGCCGCCAACTGTATTTTTTTTAGCAATGTGAAACCATCTCGGGGGTCCCAACTGTCATTTTTAAAAATGTAAAACCTTCTCGGATCCGTCAACTGTATTTTTTTTAACAATGTGAAACCTTCTCAGGAGTCCCAACTGTCATTTTTAAAAATGTAAAACCTTCTCGGGGCCGTCAACTGTATTTTTTTTAACAATGTGAAACCTCAGGAGTCCCAACTGTCATTTTTAAAAATGTAAAACCTTCTCGGGGCCGCCAACTGTATTTTTTTTAGCAATGCGAAACCATCTCGAGGGTCCCAACTGTCATTTTTAAAAATGTAAAACCTTCTCGGGGCCGTCAACTGTATTTTTTTTAACAATGTGAAACCTCAGGAGTCCCAACTGTCATTTTTAAAAATGTAAAACCTTCTCGGGGCCGCCAACTGTATTTTTTTTAACAATGTGAAACCTTCTCGGGGGTACCAACTGTCATTTTTAAAAATGTAAAACCTTCTCGGGGCCGCCAACTGCATTTTTTTAATAATGTGAAACCTTCTCAGGGGTCCCAATTGTCATTTTTAAAAACGTAAAACCTTCTTGGGGGTCCCAAATGTCATTTTTAAAAATGTAAAACCTTCTCGGGGCCGCCAACTGTATTTTTTTTAACAATGTGAAACCTTCCCAGGAGTCCCAACTGTCATTTTTAAAAATGTAAAACCTTCTCTGGGGCGCCAAATGTATTTTTTTTAACAATGTGAAATCTTTTCGGAGATCCCAACTGTCATTTTTAAAAATGTAGAACCTTCTCGGGGGCGCCAAATGTATTTTTTTTTAAGAATATGAAACCTTCTCGGGGGTCCCAAATGTCATTTATAAAAATGTAAAACCTTCTGGGAGGCGCCAAATGCATATTTTTTTAAGAATGTGAAACCTTCTCGGGGGTCCCAATTGTCATTCTTAAAAATGTAAAACCTTCTCGGGGCCGCCAAATGTATTTTTTTTAACAATGTGAAGCCTTCTCAGGGGTTCCAACTGTCATTTTTAAAAACATAAAACCTTCTCGGGGGCGCCAAATGTATTTTTTTTTTTAATGTGAAACCTTCTCGGGGGTCCAAACTGTCGTTTTTATAAATGTAAAACCTTCTCGGGACCGCCAACTGTATTTTTTTTTTAACAATGTGAAACCTTCTCGGGGGTTCCAATTGTCATTTTTAAAAACGTAAAACCTTCTCGGGAGCGCCAAACTTATTTTTTTAACAATGTGAAACCTTCTCGGGGGTCCCAACTGTCATTTTTAAAAATGTAAAACCTTCTCGGGGGCGCCAAATGTATTTTTGTAAGAATGTGAAACCTTCTCGGGGGTTCCAACTACTGTCATTTTTAAAAATGTAAAACCTTCTCGGGGCCGCCAACTGTATTTTTTTTAGCAATGCGAAACCATCTCGAGGGTCCCAACTGTCATTTTTAAAAATGTAAAACCTTCTCGGGGCCGTCAACTGTATTTTTTTTAACAATGTGAAACCTCAGGAGTCCCAACTGTCATTTTTAAAAATGTAAAACCTTCTCGGGGCCGCCAACTGTATTTTTTTTAACAATGTGAAACCTTCTCGGGGGTACCAACTGTCATTTTTAAAAATGTAAAACCTTCTCGGGGCCGCCAACTGCATTTTTTTAATAATGTGAAACCTTCTCAGGGGTCCCAATTGTCATTTTTAAAAACGTAAAACCTTCTTGGGGGTCCCAAATGTCATTTTTAAAAATGTAAAACCTTCTCGGGGCCGCCAACTGTATTTTTTTTAACAATGTGAAACCTTCCCAGGAGTCCCAACTGTCATTTTTAAAAATGTAAAACCTTCTCTGGGGCGCCAAATGTATTTTTTTTAACAATGTGAAATCTTTTCGGAGATCCCAACTGTCATTTTTAAAAATGTAGAACCTTCTCGGGGGCGCCAAATGTATTTTTTTTTAAGAATATGAAACCTTCTCGGGGGTCCCAAATGTCATTTATAAAAATGTAAAACCTTCTGGGAGGCGCCAAATGCATATTTTTTTAAGAATGTGAAACCTTCTCGGGGGTCCCAATTGTCATTCTTAAAAATGTAAAACCTTCTCGGGGCCGCCAAATGTATTTTTTTTAACAATGTGAAGCCTTCTCAGGGGTTCCAACTGTCATTTTTAAAAACATAAAACCTTCTCGGGGGCGCCAAATGTATTTTTTTTTTTTAATGTGAAACCTTCTCGGGGGTCCAAACTGTCGTTTTTATAAATGTAAAACCTTCTCGGGACCGCCAACTGTATTTTTTTTTTAACAATGTGAAACCTTCTCGGGGGTTCCAATTGTCATTTTTAAAAACGTAAAACCTTCTCGGGAGCGCCAAATTTATTTTTTTAACAATGTGAAACCTTCTCGGGGGTCCCAACTGTCATTTTTAAAAATGTAAAACCTTCTCGGGGGCGCCAAATGTATTTTTGTAAGAATGTGAAACCTTCTCGGGGGTTCCAACTACTGTCATTTTTAAAAATGTAAAACCTTCTCGGGGCCGCCAACTGTATTTTTTTAACAATGTGAAACCTTCTCGGGGGTCCCAACAGTCAGTTTTAAAAATGTAAAACCTTCTCGGGAGTGCTAAATATCTGTATTTAAAAATGTGAACCCTTCTTTGGGATCCCAACTGTCATTTTTAAAAATGTAAAACCTTCTCGGGGGCGCCAACTGTATTTTTTTTAACAATGTGAAACCTTCTCGGGGGTTCCAAATGTCATTTTTAAAAATGTAAAACCTTCTCGGGGGCGCCAAATGTATTTTTTTTAAGAATGTGAAACCTTCTCGGGGGTCCCAATTGTCATTTTTAAAAATGTAAAACCTTCATGGGGGCGCCAAATGTATTTTTTTTTAATGTAAAACCTTCTTGGGAGCGCCAAATATCTTTATTTAAGAATGTGAACCCTTCTTGGTTATCACGAAAAACTAAAATTCCGCAAAACCAAATTTTATAATTTTTCAGAGGACCAGTATTTGTTGGACTGTACATACTTCGGAAGCGCGGAAAGTTTATAAGACTAGAGATTAAAATTCGTCTTCAATCCGAAGACACAACCATTAATTGCGTTACCAAAAACAGCTACCCCTTTGGACATTGTCAACGATCTTAACAGCTTCTCAAGAGATGTACCTTGGATGTTTACGATTATTATAATTCTATGTGTAGTAAATAAATCTAGATTTTGCGAAAAAACGAGATTTCTTATCTCTACACGAATTTAATCTAATCATTTAATACCCAACCTTCAATGTTTCTAATTCAGTCGACGATTTCAAGTGTTGCTTCAAAATGGTTCAGTTTCTAAGTACACAAGACTGTGAGTTTATAGTCAGACAAATTCTGAACTCCAATGACGTATCTGACGTCGATTTTGCTCTAAAACCATTGTCTGAGCGAAATTTTGACTTAGAAATTAACTTCCGCCATGAAAAGGAAACCAAAAGCTTGACTTTTTTTGCAAAATTGGCTACGAATCTGCCAAAAATTAACAACATTGTCGACAACTTCAACATAACACCAAAAATTCGCTACGTGAAAGAAAACTTCATAGTTTTTGAAAATTTGGAAAGTCAAAGTTTTCAAAAATGCGAGTCGCTTACAGTCGAGCATTTCTGCGCTGTGTTGAAAGTTCTGGCAAGTTTCCACGCTGCGGGTTTGACTTTTCAAGAAACGAAACAAAAAAACAATCAAACCAATGTTAATCTGAGAGAACCTGAAGTTGTCGCTTTAGTTTCATCTATGGTGGACAACAAAGAAGAAATATCTCGAGTGGTCGAAGAACTCGAGGAACGACAGCTTCATTCACCGACTTATGATCTTCTTCAAGTGATTTTTTTCAACACCACGGCGCAGTTCCGCCAGCACCACTGGAAAATTCTATTGGATCACTACTACGACTGTTTGAAACAAGAAATTCAAGACACAATTTTGCCAGTCGACGATTTCCATCTAAGTGTTCACTATTTCTTACCTTTGGTAAAACTAGAAGCCGCTAGACTCCACCAAAACGAAACAGCGCTAGAAGAATTGAAAGAAATTCTAAATTGTCCAGTCGTGTCCAAAGAAGATTGTTACACCATCGTCAAAAATAGACTTGTCACGACCAACTACACGTTTGTATCTTTCAAAGTCACCCCTTTGGACAACGTTAGCGGATTTATGGGTCAATACCACAACCTACAAGTCAAAATTCTGCATCTATGTGAAGAAACAACCATCAGTTGTTTTATTAAATCAGTACCAAGACCTGGTACTCCGACGGCCATCGCCGCCCAAGATTTTAACAGCTTCGCACGAGAATTTTTCACGTATGAAACTCTAGTGGTGGAAATGCAAAACCATGGAATTGACACCATCAACGAGTGTGTACCAAGATGCTTCTTCCACAGACCCAAACAATTCATGGTTTTCGACGATCTGGCTTTCCGTGGTTATGCAAATCTCGATTCTATGAAACCCCTAGATGTCAACATGTTGACTCTTCTGGTCAAAACTTTGGCCAAATTCCACGCTTGTTCTCTAATTCTTGAGGAAAAAGTTTCCCGAGACGAAGAAAAACCGTACCGTTTGTACCACGCTTACAAAGACCAATTCAAAGAAGCTATGTTTTTCCACGACGCTAACCATAGAGGTGCCCGACAAGTCGCAACCGGAGTTAAATCAGTTGCAGCCGCGGTCAATCTATTGGGAGAAATCCAAACCGAAACCAATCTACGCAATTTTTCCAAATTTTGGCCAACCCTCCAAGACTTGTACTACGAATTGCCCAAACCGTCAGACCGTTTTCGCAATGTGGTATGTCATGGAGATATATGGACTAGCAACATGATGGTCAAATTCGAAAACGACGAAGCTACAGATTGTGTCTTGTTTGACTTCCAGTTTGTCAGATATTGTCCCCCTGCTTACGATCTTCTTCAGGTGCTTTATTTGACGACACATCGTGCCACAAGACTGAAGTTTGAAGACCAACTAGTCAAAATCTATCACGACGAACTTGGGAAAATTTTGAGCTTCTATGGAGTCAACATAGATGATTTTTATCCCTTTGGGGTTTTCGTGGAGTCGTTGAATTACATCAGACCCCACATGGTGCTGCACGCAGCCCGTGAATGTGTTCTAACAATGTGCACACCCGAAGAAATTGCTTCCTTTTTGACAGACGAAGAAAAAAGCAACCGTGTATTTTTTGAAGATCGTACTGATTTTATGACCTACATGTGTGAAAAGTCGGCTTTGTATAAAAAAAGACTTCAGGAGTGTGTCTTGGATATTTATGATTATTGTAACTTTGTGTGTAAAAATTAACATTGTATATTAAACATGTCAAAATGAAATTCGCCAGATATAAATACTATTTGCAGGTTAAGTGTATTTTTTTCGACTTGTTTACACCTTGACAATTATTTATTGAACCTTGATTTTGCTGTGTTGCCAACAAACTTTGTCAACCTAAAAAGTGACAAACTCAAATTACGTAATAACGCGGATGCCACTGACCAACTACATTAAATTAACCTTCATGTAGCAACACCGCGATTATCTCTACCACATGTTCCACGACCTCGCGTCTTAATTTACGCACGTGACTTAAGCCAATCCTGCGCGTCACCAGCCGCTGACGTCACACCGTCTTATCTACACGCACAGTCTAAACCCGGCCGTCGGTCCATTAACGTCGCCAGGAAATGGGCGATTTGCACTTCACGTTGAAGGACTGTGACGATGTCGTCAAGCAGTGCCTGCAAACCACCGAAGTACGCACCACCGACTTCGAGATCATTCCCCGCCACAACGACAACTTCATCTTCAAAATAACCATCGACCGCCCGGATAAACAAACCTTGTACTTCTACGCCAAGTCCAAATGCAGTAGGCCACGAAACGTCGCGATTTTCGACGGTTTTAAGGGGTTCGACGCGAAAATCGCGCCGAAGTTCGTCTGTGGTAAGTCGGACTTGCTATTTTTTGAAGACTTGACGTGTCAAAGGTTTCAGACTAACCTGGGTTTGTTTGATTTGAGGCACGTGAGGGGGGTTTTGGGGGTGTTGGCGGAGTTTCATGGAGCTGGGTTGGCGTTTGATAGAACTGGGACGAAAAAACTCCAGGAGTACGGGTTGGAAACTTCCAACTTCCATGTCGACGAAGTGGGGGATTTGGTTTGGGGGTTAGTTGACAATAAGGAGGTTGTTGACGAGGTTAGGAAAAATTTAGACGACAGACAAGAATCTAAGTTTGCTAAGACGTTGTGTCATGGTAATCTGACTTGGAGGAATATTTTGTTCCACTACGCCAATGGGGTGCCAGATGGGTGCAAGTTGGTCAATTTTGGCGGGAAATTGTACGCACCTCCGGCGTACGACGTCCTACAAGCAATTTTTTTCAACACGAACGAAAATTTCAGACAATGTGAGTTACAAAATTTAGTGATTTATTACCACAAGAAGCTAGACGAAGCACTGAAGAAGTATGACCTCACGATTGAGGAATTATTGCCTTTAGAACAATTCCAGTTGTCAATTCAAGACGTCTTACCTTTAATTAAAATAGAAAATGTAACGCTGAACAAAAAAGATGGTGACGATAGCGCTAGATTAGCACTAAAGGAAGCACTAGAATTTTCTAGATTGACAAGAGAAGACTGCTATGTCGTTGTCAAAAATGCAATCAACTCGTACGACTATGATCTTCAATCATTTCACTTAAACCACGAGCGATTGACTATCAAAATTCGTCACAACTTGGACGACAAAATCATCAACTGCATCGTCAAGACTAAGTCAAAAGACGACAGTTTTAAGAAAGAACTGTTCATCTATGGTACTTTTGTGCCGAAACTCCACCAACTAAATATTTCACTAATCAACGATTGTCTCCCTCAGTGCTACCACCACAAACCCGAAGATCTAGTTCTCGAAGATTTACAAGACTTCGTTTGCCAAAGTGAACCCTTTGACTTCCAACTATTGTCTATTGTGGTCAAAAAGTTGGCACAATTCCACGCTTGCAGTTTCCTTATCGAAGAAGAAATGTCGAAGAAACTGAAGACCACGTATCGACTGACGTCAGACTACGACGACGCCCTCAAAGACTCCTTTTTCGTTTCCAATTTAAACCTAGTGAAAGACAGTCTACATCTGTTTCCACACAAAGAAGACAACCTGACGAAACTGCTGCCAAACCTAGTCGAAAATTTCGCCAAACCTAGTGACCGTTTTCGCAACGTGGTGTCAATCGGAGTTCTATCAAGCTCAAAAATTCAGATACGGTCTGACAATGTCGATTGTCGATTTGTCGATTTTCAAACCGCTACTTATTGTCCTCCAGCCTTTGACTTTCTGTCGCTTCTTTACTTGACAACCCAAAACAACGAAAACGAACTGAAGAAAATCTACCACGACGAGCTCGGGAAAATCGCAGCTGCGCATAACCACAACCTGGAAAAATTTTTCTCCTACCACGAGTTCGTCGACAGTGTCGAATTTTACAGACCTCAAGTCATAATGCAAGCTTTGATCTACAACTCCAACAAAGAACAACAACTTAGCGAAAACCCGACGTCTAGACTTAAGCTCCAACAACTCGTTGTCGATCTGTACGAAGTGTGTAACAAGTTGCCTAATGTTTAGCTCAACGAAATAAATTCTTGTCTTCATTTAAGTGTAATTATTTGCACAAAGATAATGTAATCACGTCATTGTTTACCCGATTTAAATCACTTGAGGGCAATTAATCTCGCGTCAGTCTGGGTTAAGTTTCGGCTGTGTTAGTAAAATGGACGAATTATTAAGTGCCAACGATTGCGAGCTCGTCGTTAAAAACACCCTGAACGTCGAACAAGTGGAAAACGTAGAATTCTCACTCAAACCTCTGCTTGGTCACAATTTCCACCTGAAAATCGATTTCTCGCACGACGACGAGCCGCAAAGTTTGGCTTTTTTTGCCAAGTTGATGCCCGAGGTGCCAAAAATTCACACCATCGTCGACAATTTTGCTCAAGTGTTGTCGAATTACGATTGGGTCACCCCTAGAGTGTACCACGTGAAGTCCAATTTCGTTGTTTTTGAAAGTTTGCGCAGCCAAGGTTTCCGAGTTTGCGATTTATTTGCTTTTGACCAGTTTTTGGCCGCTTTGACAACTTTGGCACGCTTCCACGCCGCTAGTTTGGCGTTTGAAGAAACTAAGTCTCGGGGTTGCAAATTCCGGCTGGATAAAGAGTACGCGTTGCTTCATTTGAACTTCAATTTGAGGAAGCCCGAAGTTGTGGATTTGGTTTCGGCTGCGTTGAGTGAAAATCGGGTGGCTGAAGCAATTGAAGATCTAGAAAAGCGACAATTTCGGACGAAGTTCAGGAAAACGTTGTGTCATGGAAGCTTGATTTATAAAAACTTGATGTTCAAGGAGAAGGAGTGTAAATTGATTAATATCAAGTCGAATTTTTATGCGCCACCCGTTTACGACGTTCTTCAATTGATTTTCTTCAATGCGAATCGAGAGGTGCGGCAGAAATACTGGGACACTTTTTTACAATATTACTATAATAGTTTGAAAGAAGAAACACGACGATATGGTGTCGACATTGCTAAAATTTTGACTGAAGACGATTTTTACTTGAGTGTTCACTACGTTTTACCTTTGATCAAACTAGAAGCTACAATTCTTGACCAAAATGATACAACGACACAAGAATTGGAAGAAATTCTCAACTGCCAGTTGTTATCGCGTGAAAACTGTTACGTCATTGTCAAAAATAAACTGGGTACTACGAACTACGACTTCTTGCGTTATCAAGTGACGCCCCTGAGTGACGTCAGTGGTTTTTTGGGTGAATATCATAAAGCAGAAATTAAAATCTTACACCTGTCGCAAGAAAACACGATTGACACTTTCATCAAGTCGTCACCCAAAAGTGGTATTCCTATGGAAATCGCCCGTGATACTGACAGCTTCCGGAGGGAAGTCTTCCTGTATGAAACTCTCGTCCGACAGATGCAAAAATATGGAATTAACACCATCAATGAGTGTCTACCAGCTTGTTATTTTCACAGACCCAAAGAATTCATGGTCTTTGAAGATATGTCCCTAATTAACTACCACAATGTAGACGCTCTAAAACCTCTAGAATTTCCACTTCTGGTTCTCCTTACCCAAACTTTAGCCAAATTCCACGCTTGTTCCTTAATTTTGGAAGAAAAAATGTCTATGGAGGTGGGTAAACCGTACCGATTGATGGACGTTTATGGTTCATACTTCACCGAACCCCTTTTTTTCGAAAATGAAGAACACAAAGGATCGAGAGCGTTTATGGTTGGAATTAAATCAGTCCTTACAGCTGTAGAATTATTTACAGAAATCCAAACCGACGAAAATCAACGCAACTTTCGCAACTTCTGGCCAAAACTGAAGGAGTTGTTCTACACCGTTATCAGACCGTCTGACCGTTTTCGCAACGTCTTGTGTCAATGTGATCTACGGACTAGTAACATTATGGTACGATTTCAAGACCATAAACCCGAAAATTGTGTCTTGGTTGATTTTCAAATCGTTAGATACAGTCCACCTGCGTATGATCTTCTTTCAGTGCTTCATTTAATGACGGATCGTAGTACTAGATTGAAACATGAAGACGATTTGATTCAAATTTACTACGAGGAATTGGGGAAGGTTTTGGGGTCGTATGGGTACTCCGTTGATGAGGTATATCCATACGAGGACTACATAGAAGGTATTAAATACATGAAACCCCAAATGGTACTACAAGCAGCTATAGATTGCGTTCTTACCATGTGCACACCTGAAGAAATTTCTGAATTTTTGAGTGATGAAGAGAAATGTCGGTACGTCTATTTTGAGGATCGTACCGAGTTTATGACCGCGATGTGCCAAAAATCTGGTTTGTATAGAAATAGATTGAAGGAGTGTATTTTGGATATTTATGATTACTGTAATTCTATGTACACTGATTCCTAATAAAACCAAGCGTGAAGTAAATGAGTGAAAGTAAACCTCATTTTTATCAGTGAAATCGTAAAGTTTTTTTATTTTCCCATTTTTCGACTTCCCAAAGTTTCGATTTTTTTCAGTTCTTCAATTTTTCGATTTTTCAGGTTTTTTGATTTTTCAGTTATTTGATTTTTTTAAACTTACGATTTTTCGACTTTGCTTTTTTAGTTTTTCGATTTCTCCGTTTTCCAACTTTTTAAATTCTCATTTTTTGTGGATAGTTCTTTCAGTTTTGGGATTTTTCAATATTTCAATTTTTCGATTTTTTGACTTCTTGACTTTTCGACTCCTCGATCTCTCGATCTTTTGTTTTTCCGATTTCTCGATGTCTCAGTTTTTGAATCTTTCGATGTTCCGATTTTTCTATTCGTCGGTTTTTCGATTTTTAATTTTTCGGCTTTACGATTTTGTAATTATCCGATTTTTGAGTTTCGATTTCTCGATTTGTTGATTTTTAGTTTTCCGATTTATAAATTTTAGATTTTCGAATTTTTATTTTTATGATTTTTCAATTTTACGATATTTTAATTTTTCATTATTTCAAACTTTACAATGTTTTAAATTTTAGATTTTTGATTTTTCGTTTCTTCAATATTTTTTTATTTTTTTAATTTCGACGTTTCTAAACTTTTAGTCTTCGGATTTCTCAGTTAGTCTATTTTTTTATTTTCCCAAAGTTCCGATTTTTTTGCAGTTCTTCAATTTTTCGATTTTTCAGGTTTATTGATTTTTTACTTTTTGGACTTTCAATTTTTTGTTAAACTTTAGATGTTTCAATTTTTCAACTTTTCGATTTCTCGAGTTTTCTGTTCTTCTATATTTCAATTTTTAAATTTTCGATTTTTACAATATTCCTTTTTTAAAATGTTTCAATTTTTCAATTTTTTAATTTCCCGATTTATCGAATTCAGATGTTTCGATGTTTTGTTTGTTCAGTTTCTCGATTTATCAATTTCTCAATTTTTAACTTTTCTACACGAAGTTTTTCAATTTTTCTATGTTTCGATTTTTAGATTTCCTGGTTTTCGATTTTTTACCTTTGGGCTTTCCAATTGTTCGATGTTCCGATTTTTCAATTTTTCAGTTTTTTAAATTCTGGAGTTTGGATTTCTCGATTTGTCGATTTTTCAGTTTTTCAATTTTTAAATTTTAGGTTTTCGAATTTTAATTTTTTGATTTTTTGAACAATTTGGATCCATTTTCCAATTTTGCGATATTTTAATTGTTCATTTACGTAAATTTTAGAATTTTCGATTTCTCGATTTTTTGATTTTTCAATTATCCAATTTTTTAAATTCTGGAGTTTCGGTTCATTGATTTGTCGATTTTTCAGTTTTTCGATTTTTAAAATTTTGATTTTCGAATTTTAATTTTTTGATTTTTTGATCCATTTTTCAATTCTGCGATATTTCAATTGTTCAATGTTTTAAATTTCAGAATTTTCTATTTTTTTTAAATTTCGAGTTTCCATTTCACGATTTGTTGGTTTTTCAGTTTTTCGATCTTTAAATTTTAGATTTTCCATGTTTCAAATTTTTTACTTTTCGATTTTTCGGTTCTTCAATATTTTTTAATTTTTTAAATTTTGACGTTTCTGAATTTTCAGTCTTCCGATTTCTCAATTAGTATTTTTTAAATTCTCATTTCTGGACTTCCCAAAGTTTCAATATTTCAGTTCTTCAGTTCTCCAATTTTTCGATTTATCAGGTTTTTGTTTTTTCAATTTTCCGATTAAGTATGCAATTTTTCAACTTTGCTTTTTTGAATTTTCGATTTCCCAATTTTTTAAATCTCTCAATTTTTGTGATTTTTCAGTTTTCCGAATCTTCAACTTTTCTTCTATTTTCTAGTATTTCGACTTTTCCATTTTTCGAGTTCCGGATTTTTCGATTTCTGGAATTTTTACTTTTTGTATTTTTAATTTTTCGTTTTAAACTTCAAGTTTTTAAATTTTTCGACTCTTTTATACTTCGATTTCTCAAATTTTCAACTTTTCGATATTTTAACTTTCCAATTTTTTAAATTTTCGGAATTTTTAAATTTTCGATTTTCCATTTTTTCGATATTTCGATTTTGGAATTATGGTACGTTTATTTTGAACATCGTAGGGAGTTTGTGACCGCGATGTGCGAAAAATTGGATTTGAGTATTTTTAAATTTTGACGTTGAATTCAATTTTCCGATTTCGCAATTAATCTACTTTTGATTTTCCCATTTCTCGAACTTTCAGTTCTTCAATTTTTCGGTTTTTCGACTTTGCTTTTTTGGTTTTCTGATTTCTCGATTTTTCAGTTTTTTAATTTCTCAATTTTCGGATATTTCTTTCAGTTTTGGGATTTTCCAATATTTTGATTCTTTCGACTTCTGGATTTTTCGATTTTTTGTTTTTGGATTTTCGTTTTTTCAATTTTTTGAGATCTCAATTTTTTAAAGTTTGACGTTTCTGAATTTTCAGTCTTCCGATTTGTCAATTAGTCTATATTTTGATTTTCCTATTTCTCGATTTCCTAAAGTTTCGATTTTTTTTCAGTTCTGCAATTTTTGGATTTTTCAGGTTTTTTGATTTTTCAATTTTTCGATTTTTTTTAGCTTACGATTTTTCGAGTTTGCTTTTTAGATTTCCGATTTCCTACTTTTCCAATTTTTAAATTCTCAATTTCTTGGACATTCTTTCAGTTTTGGGATTTTTCAATATTTGGATTTTTCGACTTTTCGATTTTTGGATTTTTTTATTTCTCGATATTTTACTTTTTGGATTTTCAATTTTTCGTTGAACTTCAGATATTTCAATTTTTCAGCTGTTTTATAGTTCGATTTCTCAAATTTTCAACTTTTCGATGTTTTCATTTTTCATTTTTTAAAAGTCTAGCTTTTTCGATTTCCCGAGTTTTCAGTTCCTCTATATTTCAATTTTCAAATATTCGATTTTCCAATATTTCCTTTTTAAAATTTGTCGATTTTTCAATTTTTTAATTGTCCGATTTATCAAATTCAGATGATTCGATATTTTGTTTGTTCAATTTCTCGATCCTCTAATTTTTCGATTTCTCGATGTCCCATTTTAAACTTTGTTTTTTCAGTTTTTCGATTTTTCGACTTCTCGACGTTTGGATATCTCGATTTTTCGATGTTTCGATTTTTGGATTTCTCGGTTTTTAGATTTTTTAATTTTGGGCTTTTCAATTTTTTTTTTCTGATTTAAAAAACTTGGAAAATTGAAAAATCGGAACATCGAAAAATTGGAGACTTCTAAGAGTTTTGAATTCTTGATTTGTCGATTTTTCAGTTTTTAAATTTTTAAAATTTTAATTTTCGAATTTTAATTTTTTGATTTTTTGATGCTTGGAAAAATGAGGATACATTTTTCAATTCTGCGATATTTCAATTATTCAGTGTTTTAAATTTCAGATTTTTCCATTTCCCAATTTTTTGATTTTTCAGTTCTTCAGTTTATCGCTTTTTCGACTTTGCTTTTTTTGGTTTTTTGATTTCTCAATTTTCCAATTTTTTAATTTCTCAATTTTTGGATATTTCATTCAATTTCGGGATTTTCCAATTTTCGACTTCTGGATTTTTCGATTTTTTATTTTTTAGATTTTGAGTTTTTCGTTTATTAAAATTTAGATTTTTAGAGTTTTAAATTTTTCTAGTTTTCAGTTCTTCTATATTTAAATTTTTCAATTTTCCGAATTTTTAAATTTTTTAATTTTTTCAATTTTTTGAGAATCGGATGTTTCGATGTTTTGATTGTTCCATCATTCGATTTATCAATTTTTCGATTTTTCGATTTTGGTTTATTTCGGTTTCCCAATTTTTCGACTCCTCGATTTCTCGATCTTTTGATTTTTCGATTTCTGTATGTCTCAGTTTTTGAATTTTTTGATGTTTCGCTTTTCGAATTATCCGATTTTTCAATTTTCCAGTTTTTTTTTAATTTTCGAGTTTCGATTTGTTGATTTTTCAGTTCTTAGATTTTTAAATTTTAGGTTTTCAAATTTTTATTTTTATGACTCTCATGTTTCGATTTGTCCATTTTTCAATTTTAAGATATTTTAATTTTTCAATGTTTTAAATTCTAGATTTTTAGATTTTTCGGTTTTTCAGTACTTCAATATTTTTTAATTTTTTTAATTTTGACGTTTCTGAATTTTTAGTCTTCCAATTTCTCAATTAGTCTATTTTTTGATTTTCCCATTTCTGGACTTCCCATAGTTTCAATTTTTCGATTAAGTTTGCGATTTTTCAACATTGCTTTTTTAAATTTTCGATTTCCCAATTTTTCAATTTTTTTAATTTCCCAATTTTTGGATATTTCGTCCAATTTTGTGATTTTTCAATTCTTCGATTCTTCAATTTTTCGATATTTTGGGATTTTTTTGTATTTCGACTTTTCCATTTTTCGAGTTCTGGATTTTTCGATTTCTGGACTTTTTACTGGTTGGATTTTCAATTTTTCGTTTTTTAAACTTCAAGTTCGACTCTTTTATACTTTGATTTCTTTAAATTTTCAACTTTTCGATATTTTCGGAATTTTTAAATTTTCGATTTTCCATTTTTTCGATTTTGGAATTTTGGTACGTTTATTTTGAAGATCGTAGCGAGTTTGTGACCGCGACGTGCGAAAAATTGGATTTATATAGAAGTAGATTGAAAGAGTCTATAGTTTGCGTTCTTACCATGTGCACACCTGAAGAAATTTCAGAATTTTTGAACAACGAAGAGCAATGTCGTACGTCTATTTCGAAGATCGTACCGAATTTATTACTGCGATGTGTGGAAAATCCACTTTGTATAGAAATAGGGTGAAAGAATGTATTTTGGATATTTATGATTATTGTAATTCTGTGTACACTGACTAATAAATCATACAACATCCCAAAAGTACATACGTCAATTGTGCAATATTTATTAAAAGTAGCGTCAGAACAATGGGTGTTTGCAAAGATTTGACACTTTTATCATTTGAATAATTTTTTCTAAGTATTTGTCGAGCCATAAATTAAACCACCGGTATATAAATAGTGTCTAT